GAGACCCACAGCCAAACATTAGGCAGAGTTTGGGGAATCCTGTGGAAGATGTGGGAGAAGGATTGTAGGAGCCAGAGGGGTCAAGGACACCACAAGAAATCATCTAAGCAGAGCTCATAGGGGCTCACAGAGACTGAACTGACAATCAGGGAGCCTGTATGGATCTGACCTAGGCCCTCTGCATATGGCAACTGGGGGTTTCTCTGATTCTTTTGCCTATATTTGGGACTATTTTTTCTCCTACTGGGCTGCCTCATTCAGCATTATATGACGGGAGATACCTAGACCTATTGCAATTTGATATGCCATTCTTGTTTGATGTCCCTGGTAGGTGTGCCCTTTTCTGAAGGTAAATGGAGGAGGAATGCATGGGGTGGAGACTGGGAGGTGGGGAAGGAGGTGAAACTGCAGTCGGGATGTAATATATGAGAGAAGAATAAAAAAGGCCAGACATGGGTGGCACATGCCTATAATCCCAGCACTCGGGAGGCAGAGGCAGGCAGATCTCTGTGAGTTCAAGGCCAGCCTGGTCTACAAAGCAAGTTCCAGGACAGGCTCCAAAACAATACAGAGGAACCCTGTCTCGAAAAATAAAAAATAAATAAAAAAATAAAAAGATTAAAGAAACTTGGAAAATATATTTTTAATTTAACTTTAGTTTACATATATATGAGAAACTCAGGTAATAGATACTGAATTTTGCTTTAACTCATATATTTGCAAAGTCTAATATATGCCTTTTTTAAAAATTAGATTTTTAGGTTAGCATACAAAGCAATGACTTTGACTATGCATTTTCATACATAGGTGCCATTCACTGTTCTCATGTATTTTCCTCCGCCATCTGCCAGCACCCTCTGGCTAGTTCCCTTTCTTACCCATGGGGATCCCTATCTTCCTTCTTGTCATATGCATGCATTCTTATTCTTTTAGTAGTTATCCTTGAGAACTTTACTACATACTGAAGAAACATTTCATCTTATACAAGTATAACATTTTATTTTTGCCATTCCTTAAAATCAAAGCTACCAGGGAAAATGAATCCCTCAAACTCATTACTTATTGCTAATGTGACATATTCAGTTTGATCATCTGGTACAAAATACACTCAAAAATAAAAAGATTATTTTGACACTTGCTCTTGGCACAATAAAAGGGAAGTATATATTTTCAAATGCAAGGTCTACGTGTTACCACATTATAAGGTTAAGTTGCCAGAAAATCCAGGGAATTTTTGTTATTATTTATTTAAATAAAGAAGATTTTGCTATTTGGTTGGTATATTATAGGGAAATTTGAATATAGAAGGTCCAAATACAAAGTATATCTAGAATGTAGAACCTAAAGATGCTGGCATTTTCCCAATATCTTATTCCTGAACACAACATATGGCATACATAGTGTAACATATATGCAATTTACAGGAACATTCAGTTTGCAAAAATCACAATTTCAGATACAGTGTGCCCAGGCCATAACATTTTCTAGGAACTTTTAAGATGAAACCCGTGAAAGCAGGAAGCCAGCAATATTTAATGTACAAAACTTTAGGTGGGCATTAGTATAATGAACCTTAAAAACTTATGGGCACAGTGACAGGACTAGTAAAATCACCACAGTGTCATAGGACTTCTTGAAGCAAACAGATTACACAAAACATTACTGTAATAAAACAGCTGTTCTTAGCAGCCACTTTTAAAATTTCTTTAGTATAGATAACTAAAAGCATATGATGTAAAACAAAAAAAGTTGGATTCTGCTATAGAAACCAAGTCATGACAATACCTGAGAAAATCCATGTATTTGTCGAAAAAAAAAAAACCTGTTCAATTCATAAAACTAATTCTGACAGTAGAGTTTAGAGCTCATCAGTGAGTGTGTATATTCAAACTGGAGTACATTTGGCAGCAACCACCATGTAAAAACAAATAAGGATTCAGGGCAGTGCCAGCACATGGGCAGTACTTTGCCTTTGGAGACTGTTATTCAGTCTCTGTAATGCTCAGGTACCACTGACAGTACAACTTCACTATCTATCATGCCAAATCAGCTTTTCTATCGCCCTAACTTTGGTGAAGAGGTATGTGCGGGCAATGAGCACAGAGAGCAGCACACAGTTCATGCTTAGTGAATACAGCTGGGTTACTACATACGGCCTGCACTCTCCAAGGAAAACTAAGATTGCGAAGATTCTTTCATATGTTCTCTCCTCCATGGAGATCCTAACTTTTAATGTTTTCCCCACTGGAGGTGGGGAAATGGAATTCCTTTAACAGGGTTGTTAAAGGAATAGAGGAGGGCAATGGAGCCAAGTGCATGGAAGGAGGCTAAGGGGAGTGGAGAGGAACGAGAGCGTGGTGAGGAGTGGGAAGGAAAAATCAACAAAACAGTTTTTGTTTGAAAATTTCATTATGAAACTTAACAATCTGTAGACTGATCAAAAATTATTTTTAAAGAAAGATTTGTTTTTAAGAAAGCAGAGATGGAAGCATGCAGAAATCAGGAGCAGGGCCACTTGTCTTTTGGTCACCATGCTAAGGAAGGCTCATGGGCACAGTAAGCTCCACTCTCAGGCATCCACATGCCATTAGTTTTACTTATTAGTATCATGTGTCTGACCCTCCTTGTTTTTTTCCTCCTTGGAAGCTCTAACTCCATGTTATTCACACTGTCTCTAATATCTCTATGACTTCCTTCTCTCTGCTTCCATTCTTTGTTTCAAACGTGATTCTTTGACGTCATAAATTGCCCTTCCAATGGTCTCACTGCCCTCTCCAACAGGTGCATTTTTACTGTCTTTGGCACCCAAATGGCGTAGGCATACTTTCTCCATTCCTTTGCCACCTTCTCTTTTCTTAATTTTTGGTTAAATGGCTTCTCATTCTACTTTCTCTCTCATGGTTTATAATGATCTTTGAAAAAGCTCTTTCTTTAATTTTGTTGTATCTCTTTTCTTCTCTAAAGATTTGTGATACATTCTCTCTTGCCTTCTTTTCTCTCTCTTTTTTCCTTGTTTCTCTCTTGCCTCCTACAACTCTCCTCACTTCCACTTTATCCTTTAAACCTACATGCCTGCAGTAATCTCCATTACTCTAACTTTGAACTAGTTATGTTATCCAGGATCCAGTCCCTGCTTAAGACTTTTCTTTCTGCATGGAAGGATATTCAACTGTGTTTTTCAGTTTAAATACCTAAGAAGCTTCCACCAAAGTTGCAAGAACAGTTGGTGCCTTCCTATCATGGCTTTTACCTGTTTTATTTGTTGTATATCTTTTCTCTCAGACAGCTTATTGGTATTGTCAATACACTAAAAATTGTATCAAATTAATAAGACCCTGGCGGCATTTCTGGCTTTACCACTATCAATTTGATTTCAAACAAATGTTTCAAAGCTTAGTGAAACTCCAACATCCTGGGCATGATGTCTTCTATGTGGACAACATCTCTATCTTTCTTCTTAATACCTTTCTCAAAGTTCATAACAAAGTGAGATACTCATTTGATGTGGCACCTTTACATTCTGTACCAATATCTCAACACAGAACTCATTTATTATTCTGTCTCTCTTATGTCCTATCATATAAAGTAAGGTCTTTGATGTAAGAATATCATTGGCTATAGTTACACTAGCTTCTAGTATAGTGACTAGCATTAAATTATCACTGGTTTGAGACTATAAACAGAAATAATTACATATAATAATTACATATCCTAACAAAGATAACCAAATTCAGTTCCACCTTCTTTTCAACAAACATAAAAATGACCATCGACATGGCTCAGCAGGTCAAGGTGCTGATACCAAGTCTGATAACCTGAGTTCAATGTCCAGAAAGAGAAAAAGACACTTCCAAGTTATCCCTGATTGTTACTTGTGCATTGTAGCAATGTGCCAATCAATCAATCAATCAAAGAAATGCTAGCATGTGCCTGTATTACATCTGATTCTGACCAAATTACTCTTTTATCTGCATTTTCCAGAGTGTCCAGGATATCCACCTATTTCCTTCATGGCCTTATTCACAATATCATCAATATTATTTATTATTCAGAAAATTATTCTACATGTAAATCTTGAATTTTCTTGCTTCCAAATACAGATACTTTGTTTTAAGCTTTCTCCAAAGGCCAGAAAATGTTAAATACTAAGAACCATGTTGTTTTTAACAACGAATCATTACCTCACTCTTTAAAAGTTGCTACATTAAACTATTACTATGTAATTTTGACATTGAATTTCCAGCAATTAAGAAATATTTACAGTATATAAGCTATATCTAAATGGTGCTGGTGGCTAGAATAGAGATTAAAGTGACTGATGAGGAGCACATAACTTCAAACATTTGCTCTGTGAAATTCCATATATAAGTGGAACAAAAATCCTAAAATTAAAGTACTATTTAATGACCACAGATACTCTATGGGTTCAGTGTTAGAGCACTTACTGATTTCTAGTGAATCAATTCAGAAAGCTCCAATTACACCTCAGTCTTGAACTGTATATCTCCTTCAGAAATTAATACATCACTACTTTTTATCACAAGCATCCAAAAGCAAAATGAAACCTTAAGTTTGTTGGTTTTTATCTGTCTTCAATAGCAACTTCAAACATCAAACTACCACAACTTAGAATCAAAGAGTTTCTTTCACTTAGTTACTTTAAATCTGAACTTAAAAGAAGAGCAAAATGATACAGTTTGGAAAAACAAAACCAATCTGTATTTATATTGACTTGGTTAATTATGTATTTATTTTATGAAACACTTGACAAACAGAGCTTTAGAACTATGTTCTTGGCAGAGATGCTGTAACAAGAACCCAAGAATCAGATGTGTGGCTGATTACATGACTTAAAATTCTATTCAGCTCTAAAAGTCAGGATGTAGGTCATGAGTCAATTAAAGCACACTCTATGCTGAGTAAGGCCATCATATTTCTTAAACAATAGCAATTTTTGTGAAAAGAAAAGCCTGGAAGCCAAGAGCAGAAATCAGACTTACGAGTACTGTGTCAGCAGTTCCAAATCATTGTGCATATTGATTGGATAGGCTTCACTGAGTTCAAACAACTTCTCCAGGGCTTCATAGATAAAAATGATGCAAATAAGTGAAGCAAAAGCTTCTTCAGTAAAGCGAGTGATATAGCAGACAAGGGAACTCGCATCGGTGGCCACAAGGATGATACACAGGGTTGCAGTCCAAAGCCCAATACTGGCTCTTAAAGACAAGTATGACAGCCCATATTCTCTAGGAGAAATATGAAAGTGTGGAAAGAAGGTCATTTTATAGCTGGCTACTATTGAAATAATGGAAATAAGATTAATTCAGGCAGTGAAAGTGAGTAACTTCCCATCACATGAGTCTCTCAGTGCAAGACATTGTCTATAGCGAAATCTAAGGGGACAAACTAATGGAGGTTTCTTGGTGCTTAAGATGGAATCTTGTTTCTTATAAATATTTCATGTATGATATATGTAGAAATCTGTTAACTTTTCCTTCATTTCCATTGAGAGACAAAAATGACAACCTGAATCATACCAGCCAATTTCACTTCTCCCCACAGACCTCCAAAACTGATGTTGGATGAAGAAAAAAGCATATAGTAGACAATAGTAATAATACTTACTTGCAAAATTTAAACAAAATCTTTTCGAACACCAAAACAGGTCCTGTACTGCCTAATATGGTAAGAGGCTGTCCACCAAAAAGAGAATAGGCTATCCCGGTCATAGATGCTCCAAAGAGTGATTCGATTGCACTCTGTGAAAGAAAATGTGGATGGATCCATTACTTAAGCTAAATGGGCAGTCACCATAATAGGTACAAATATTTCAAATATGTCTGTTCAGAGTTCTACTCTTCACCATTTTATGTCTAGCAACCCCAGGCAAAATATGAGAAATAAGGCTGAGAAAATGTCATGTGGGGGTAGAGAATTAGTGACAGCAATTGGGAAGTATAATCTATACCTTCTTGCTTCATTTTTTATTGTTTTATATGATATTTAAATATTTTCTGGATCAATGCCTTAACAGAAGCATGGCTCAAGTTTTTGAAAATTGGACTGAACCTAAAACTGATACAGAATTTTAGATCAAGCGACATGGCATCAGGCCATAGCCTTGTCTAAGACTCAAAATATGTATTTCCTAGACATTCTATTCCCAGATCACGAGCTCCACTAGCCTTCCAGGAAGTTCATAGGAATTTGCTGGACCATGTATCAAATCTCTCTTCAAAATCCCAAATCCACTCCAAAGCCAAAGGGAAACCCTGTCTCGAAAAACCAACCAACCAACCAACCAAACAAACAAACAAACAAATAAAAAACCCCACCAAATCCAATGCTTGCTTATATAACAACAAATCTTAAAAAAAAAACAAACCAGATTAAGGTTGAAAGTTTAGAGAAAAGCATAATACATACTATACGCCCTTCAGTTGCTTCTCCCAACAGTCCTCCAAATGTGATGACAGGAGACATACAGGCACAGTAGAGAAACAGGAAAGATGCTAAACATTGCAGGCTGAAAGCATCTCTGAAGTCACTCCAGAAGAATGGAGCTTTCCTTTTGATATCTAATATAAGTCCCCCAAAAATCCTAAGACATGGGGGGAAAAACACAATAGTGAAACCCAAAGATAAAAAGTTAAAATGTGCATTTGTTGTGTTGCCCGGTCACAGTAATATTTTCCACCAGCACAGATGAGACCCATATTAGACTACCACATTGCATTATAATGACCTACAGGAATAGCTTCACACTACTACAATACCCCAAATAGTGTGCCTGTGCCTACAACTAAAAATCATCAGGGTTTCTCAAACAAGATCCAGGGATTCATCCAAGATATCTCATCTAAGATCTCAAACAAGATTCATCAATCAATTTTCAAATAATGAGATTCGTGGGTTATTTCAATGTCTGTGTCATTTCATTAACACACACCATGTAAACTCAGGCCTTCATTGTCAACCTTGGAAGTATTTTCTAATACTTTTCACTTAATTTATCATATCAGAAAATGAGACAGAGAGACAACTGGTCTTTGTGAGTACTGGTAGTAAACATCACCTTAAAGCGGTGTTCAATCATGACTCCAGTCAACTATCCCTCTGCCAACATTAAAGTATCTCAACAAAACCTTACCTAAGAGGACAACTAAACGGGCCTGTGGATAACAGCATTCAATAGAGACAGAGAGACTCTGAGGTTGTTTTTAGTTTTAGGAAACGGAGAAGTTAACCTAATATAATAAAATCAGATAAATGTTACTTTGATCTTCTATTGCCAACACACATTCTAACATCTATCAATTAAAACGGCCTTTCCTGGAAATAATTCACTTATTTCAAATATGATAAAGAAAAACACCTTGAAATACTTCAAAGGGTTTTGTTTTGGGTTCAGAAGTTTTAAATTGTAAACTGATGCTTAAAATCTGAGCACTAACATTCTTTAGTGTATTAGTAATGAGAACACTAATAAGTAGGTATTATCATTATTTGTATATTTGATAACATTGAAATTTAATATTTGATATTAAAAGTTCATTTTATTCCAAGGAATAAAGATGTGATTGTAAAGTAAAACTGCAATATGCTTCCTATGTGAAAGTTAATGATTAAAAACAAATATTTTAAAGCTGTATAGGGTGGCACATGACAAAAGGCCAGCACTCCAGAGGCAGGAGGCAGAAGGGTTGTGAGTTTGAGGTCAATCTGAAACATACAGCAAGACTTTGTCTCAAAACAAATAATAAAGCAAAACCTGTGGGGTTCCTGAATTCTGATATTATGCAGAATGTTCTTGGATCATAAAAATTAAATGTTTGTTATCTGATGAGTATTCTTTGCAGTGTTATCACAAAGATAATTGTTTTCTTAAGAACCAAGTTATATTTGACCTTGAAATTATACTCAACTGATTTTTTTCATTTATTTATTTATTTATTTATTTACTGTGTGTGTCTGTGAGTTGTCAGAGGACGACTTGTGGGTTCTGGGCTCAGCACTGAGCGATCTCATCAGCTCTTCACTACTATTTTTAAATTCCCCTGATCTGATGGAGACATAATAATTGTCTATTAGTAGCCATCTAATGATATGTGAGTGTAAAATCACTGTTTATCTAATAATTTCTTCAACAAGAAAGAATTGAGAGAAATGGAATTTTGAGACAAAAGGACATTTTAAACTCAGAGGCACTTCCAGAAAACATGTGGACCTTATAGGTATACAAATTTTCCCAGGTCACTCTAACTGTGTTTGGTAAAGCATATGCATGTTATGCTGAACAGTTTCTATTTCTGAATAATGTTAGCTTGTCAAAGTCATAACGCAAAGTAGATTTATTCTACTAGCATTCATGTATGGTTTATATCCTACCTAGTTCTAAAAATAAATTGAGATAGTTATGAACTATTAATTGGTAGTTAATATTTATAGTTTTGATAGCATTTTATATTAGACCACTGCTTTGTAATTAATCACTTATTAGATCATACATTAGTCTGCATAGTTATTATATAGTTATGTAATAAATGTGCTTTTATCAGTAAAAATCTAAATCCAGAAGTGGGAGTTCGTTACAGAAGAAAGTGCAAGAGCAGCCCAGATGTGCACCAGCAACTCCAGGAGAGCAGATGAGTAATGGATACTTCAAGTCATGTCAGCAACAGAATCTGTGGAAGAACGCTGGAGAAGCGAAGATACCGGATATTGTTGACCTGGGAGGATTTAGGAAGCAGTAAGGAAAGTGAACTCGAAAAAAATCTAAGCTATGTGGCATGTTACACCTGAGAGAAAAAGAAAAAAAATATACCACCACCAAAAATAAAAAGACTGTATTTGAAAGTATGAAAGCAAACAGAATGAATAACAAGGCTTCCAGTGAAGGGAAAAGGAAAAACTTGAACCATCTAAAAATAGGTATGAAGCCAAGGAAGATGCTAAAGGACATATTTCCTCAGAGACAAACAGCGATAAAGGGAAAACACAGAATTAAAATGCAGAGTTGTCAGGGACAGGAACATCAGCTCAGTGGGCATACTGCAAGCAGTACAGAAAATCGCCCAAGGGGAGGGCTACCATTCCTACAAAGCCTTGGCAATTGTCTTTAATTATAGGGAGGCTGTCCACACAAGTTCCCTGAAGAGACATCCACCCAAGGGTTTCTGATTTTCTCCTCACACATTGCTTGCAGAAAGACAAGCTGTCAAAAACCCATAAAAAACATTTTATGAAATAAATTGAAGCTTTCATCTCTTCAAAGGTGTGTGATTAGAAAAGTAAATCATATAGCTCTTTCACATCACAGGCATAATAATAAAAATACCATTATATACATCCTACTAGCATTTAATGAGGTAAAGTCTACAGGACTTAATTCTTGGTATTTAGTTTTATTTCCATCTTGAACTTGAAGCTTTCAACAAGCTGTTTTGGAATCGTCAACTGACAGTTTCCTTAGATTCATTCTAAGATTCTGTGAATGTATTTTATGCTTCATAAAATGAAAGACTAGGATAAGATGGAATGGTCTAGCCACTGTTCTGTTTTAACAGTAGTGACAATCATTACTCACTTCAGAGAAATCAAATTAATTGGCATTTCACTCTCAAAGAGTAGCTATTAAAATATAAAATAAATTAGGTCTAGAAACAACAGTTCCTGACAGATAAGAATGGCACACCGTTTAAGTCCCATACAAGTGGTTTGTACTAACCTTCCAGTTCGCTGGAGCTCAGGTCCACTGTGTCCTCCATGTTGCTCAGCTTCGCCATGAGCTGCTGTTCCATTTGGCACAGCAGGAATCTTCCTCTTCTCCTGCAGGAAAGTTTTTGTTGGTGTATATTTTGTTGTAATGCCAGACATTAATGACAAAACCTTTTTTTGTCAGTAAAGCCATGTGTAGAAGGGCTAAGTCCATAGGTTCTGTGACTTAGTGACTGCTTAACCTATGAAAATCCTTCCAATCTCCTAAAACCTTCATTCTTCCCTTATGGATTAACTAGATGAGTGATGGCAATTTTTTAATTCATACACCTACCAGTTTTGGAGTGCCCATTTTTTGCAATATACTGATATAGACACCATAGTTGCAATGGTATACAGAAAATGTCAGTATTCTAGGGCTGGGATACACATAGCTCACTGGAATGGCACTTGTCTATCATGTCTAAGGCCCTATCATAATTTATATCATAAAAGAAAGAGAAGAAAGAAAAAGTATACCATTTTACTATTTTTAAGTACTATTGTCTTTATTCTTCTATATCATGTCTTTCTAGAAAGGAATAACTTATGCTATTAAGTCTTCATGACTCAGATGCAATTCTATTACAAAAGGAAGTTTCTACTTAAGCCAATGGCAGATTAACTGAGGTTTATGCAAGTGTTCTTTTCCCTCAGATTAATTCCACTTACTTTTGTCTCTGACAGAGATATCTGAGATAAACAAATCAGAAAGTCTCCCTAAAATTACATCTCTGGTTATCTTAGATCACATGAATGGATTTTAAAAGTACTTAAAGAATAAAGAACTTTTAAGTTGTGTAATTAATTTTTTACTTGACTGCCTTTCCAAACTAGAATGACTGTGAAGCACAAAATTGATACATTAGTTTATCTTATGCACAATGAGACATTTAGATAGAATGACACATGTTTCACACATAACAAAATGTGTTTTTGTATAAGCACAATATAGGAAAGTTCCTTATTTAATATTTATACAATTTCTACAGCACTAGACTAAAGTTTAAAGGTAAAAAAGAAGATATATTTCAACTGATGAGAGGCTTATTTTCACAGGTAAATATAAAATATTTATAACATGACTTAAGAGTGGCCATCATTATTTCCAATTACCTAGGAAAACATGTCACAGCTTCTAAATTTCTCAGAAAACAAGTGATAATATCTGGCCATTTGTAAAAATAATCTCCTTTGCATAATTTAACTTTTGCTTTACAAATTTAAAGAGCCATATGTTGATAAAATAGATAATTAAGATATTAACCATCCTAAAGCACACATTTTTCTCAAGAAATAAAATGCATTGAAAAAATGTAAGTTGTATAAATAATATCAATAAATATTCTTAAGAAATAGAACCTATTGTAGTTGTGAAACAAACACATGTATTTTTTATATGTGTGAAAGATCCCTAAAGTAGATAAGTAGATAAATTAGGCTTGTAGAGCATATATTCTCATAGGAAATACCGAAAAAATTAAAAATTAAATATTTAAGTCTATAGTATGTTAAAAAAAAGAAGTAAATCTATGGAAAATGAATTTATTTTGCATGGAACACAAGGTGTCTGATGTGACTGGAAGGGAAGGCAAGAGTGGCAATTATAAACTAAGTTTTCGAATAGGCCCTGAGGAAAAGGGCCATTTGAGAAAAATTAAGAGAAGTAGAGAAATAGGCATGCTAAATAATTGGAGGATACCAAGGAAGACCAGCAAGTGCTATAGTCTTTAGGATCAGAATGCCTGGAAGGTTTGAAGAACACCAGGAAGTAAGAAATAGTAGAGATAAAGTACCAGAAAAGGGGGGGGGGTGACAGTATAGAGACGTAATAAGCCAGTGTATCTATCTGGCTTTTATTCTCCATGAAATGAAAAATATTTCCAAGGTTTTGAAGAGAGAAAGGATATAAGAGAACTGGGAATTACTTTGACTATGATGATGGGGAGAGATTCTAGGACACAGAATGAAGCAACCAGTTAGGCAGCTATCCATGAGAAAGGTGATGGAAGGTAGAATCAGGGTGGTCACAGTGAGAAAGAAACACAAATAATGATAAACACTGAAATCAAAGCCAACAGAATTCTCTGGGAGAATCTATATAAGTTATAAGATGAAATAACCAATTACTTGGGGCTGATCAATTACAAGAATGTATTTAGCTATTAACTGTGTTTGGAAGATACAATTACAATTGATTTTGAGGAAAACTTAAAGATCTTATATACTCCTGGAAACATATCACATATTGCTTGTCTTAAAATTATAATTACAGAAACAGAGAAAGATAACGACTTAAGACCACATACAATTTGGCTTAAACTTTCAAAATAGTCAGCTTACACATCTATCAAATATTCAAGTGGAGATGTAAGATAGGAAGATGTGAGTTTAGTTTAGAAAATAAGTTTGGAAAAGGTTTACATTCTAAGATTGGACGATATTACTAAGAACATGAATGTAGATAGCAGAAAATATGACTAGAGAGAACATGGTTATGGTCTAAGTGATAGTTTCAACATAAGGAAATCAGAGAGAGGTGGAAGAACCAGAAAAAAAAAACTGGGACTGTCCCTGGAGACTGCAGAAACAACAAGAGACTGTTGTTGAGGAACTAAGCAAGGAAAGTACACTAAAGATAAGGGCATTGCCGATTCTATCAAATGCTGCTATTCCTGCATTAAGTGCAACATAGATCAGTAAGTTATCACAGTTTTTATTCATTGTGGGTGACGCTGGTGGTAATTAGTTTAGTGGATTAAAGTGGGGAGATAGGTATTTATGGAGTAGAGACATAGTATAGAGAACTTCTCTACAACATTCTATTGCAAAGGGAAACAAAGTATGTAACTAACTGACAATAATAATGATAACAAAGCAGTTACTTTTTTTAAAGATAGTGACTTAAAAGTGGGATAATAAAATGATGTAATAGAAACAAAGGACTGATACAATGATGAGAGGTGTTTTGACAGAGCAAAGTTCTTGAGGAGACCATAGAGAGGGGATCTGGTGCACACTGGAATGTTAGTTTACATCAGAAGCCATACAGGGAAGGCTGAGCTGACAAATGAATGTGCTGGTCAGAATCTATGGAAGATCTTTTTGATTGTTTCAAAATGTTAATAAAACTTAGGAACAGTAAACATGTAGCATTAAGAGTCACAGAGGGTATGCTAAAATTGGAGCCCACTTGTGCCATGGTCACTTAAAACCAATGACTGGCCTTGAGAGGGATGGGATGCTGAACATGTAGCATGAAGGGATCATTTGAGCCCCATGATCATTAAGTGATGGGAAGCTAATCAATGAAATCATGCTTTCCCCTTCTGCTGTGGTAACAGCGGTGTGGGTATATAGTAAAATTTGAATCCTCATGGAATTGTGATTTTGACAACCAAGTACATGACATGAAGAGAACAAAGAAGATGGAGGAACATATAAGAAAATGATCATGATGACTGACATTAGAGTATAAAGAATTTCAGGCTGATCTCTTAAGATGACAGGTTGTTTTTTTTTTTTTTTTTACTGAAAGGAAATGTATTAAAAATGCTGTCATCTGTTCATTTCAAAAGAATGAAAAGTGCAAATATTATTTGATGAGGTTAACATTATTTAAATGAGTGTGAATTCAAGGTACATAATATATGCTAATTCATTTTAGTCCCATAATAAAAGAAAACAGAGCTCCTATGATCTAGTATTTAAATATATCATTGAGTTTTAAAATATTAATATTATAATGAATTATACAATGTATATAATTCATATACATTGGATAAAATCTTACTCTCTAATATTATTGCCCCTAACCATGTGTCTACACAAGGTTAAATTAACTAAAATAAAAATTTAATTTGTTAACCCCAGTAGCCACATTACTAGCATTTAATAGTAGCTGGGTGATTAGGGAGCATTACTATGGAATGCTTCCTTTATTGGAGAAATTCTATTGATCAGTTCTGAAACAAAGCATCAGTATACTGAGAGGATAAACCATTTATTCGAGGACAAACAAACACACAATGGCAGAACCTAGATACTAGAATCCCTAATTCAATGTTCATTACATTACACTCTCCCAATACCTGGAATTTGTTAATTCTTATTTTCTCATAAAATTAATAGGAAATACAGATTTCCAACCATTCACCTTGCCTCAAAAACACCATTCCTCAACACCAGGGTAGTTTAAATGAATTTACTTTTAACTTTTCAAGTATTAATTGGTGTTACAGTGAGTTACAAAGTGTCACTTTCATTAAATTTATCTAAATATCATTAATTAGAATTTTTTTCTATTATTTTAGAAACTGTCATGTTGCCATTTCTAATATCATCAGTACAGAGACATGTATGTGTAGAGAAATGAGAAAGCCCTTACAATCCCTCTCTAAGCCACTGCTTTTACTTTAGTAGTAGAGGAACTTAAATTACATGGTTTCAGTTACACAACTAAAAAATGGTAATTATTAAGAAAAGTAAATAGACTTTAGTAGTGGTAGACTGACTTCAAATAAAAATACAGGCCTGCACTATTAATATATATTTAAGCTGACAGAGGAGTTAACATGACCTTTTTACATACTCATGGTCTCATGGTTAAGTAATATACTTGCCAGTTTGCCCACTTTTTTGTTTGTTTGGGTTTTTTGCTTGTTTGTTTTTGTTTTTTGGAGACATGGTTTCTCTGTATCTTTGGAGCATGTCCTGGAACTCACTCTGTAAATCAGGCTGGCTTCAAACTCACAGAGACAAGCTTGCCTCTGCCTTCCAAGTGCTGGAATTAAAGGTGTGCACTATAACCACCAGGCCTCAGTTTGCCCACTTCTAACACCTAAAAATCTAAGTCCAGGATTGGGTCAGTAGACCCATCTGTCAATTCAGTCAGAACATCGGAGTCAGACAAGCCTGGACTCTGCAGGACCAGGGGTCAAAAGCAACTGGAAGAATATGGGAAGCAGATCCCACAGGAACAAAGATGAAACATGAAAATAGGACTGCAGATATTTGACCATCATTTTCAACAGTCATGCCTAAGATAAGACAATGCTATAAACATTAACAACATTCTTTATTATTTCCTCCTGTAATATAGAATAGGTAAAATATACATTTGATTTACATAGGCAGAACTAAAAAAATTATACCATACATGAAATGATACAAAAATAATCATGATGAAAAGCTTTTCCCAATTTCCATTTTGATTAGCAGTAATATGGAGTTTGTACAAAACATAGTTAATTATCCTTCTTATTTTCCCAATCCTTGTCAACTTCCAAAACCCTTAAAATAATGAGCTTTATCTCAGGTCATGTTTTATGCCATTACATTTAGTATCTCCATAATACAATATCTGTCATGTCGGGCCTGAAATATTTCCAGGCATATGAGACTCACTCAGTGACTCATGCGCAAAATGCCAAAATTCTCAATGTGTTAGGTCTTAACAAGAACATTTTGTAAATTAATATTTTTGCTTTCTTGGAATAGGTTATATCACTTGATACTTTATGATGCATTGCATTATTTTAGGGGCCTGAATTTAAAGGAAACCAAAGTATTAGAATTAAAGAAAATGTTTTCAAATATACCTACTTGGGAAGGAACATTTTTTGGAGGTTCTATCCGGATACTTGGGTCCCATTCTCCAGGAGGAAGAACTGTGACCTGGTCCAGAAACTCATCAATCCCTGACACCAAGTCATTGCGGTCTTTAGCTTTGTAAGCAACATCATGAAATACCTACAGAAGAAAAGCAGTAGCACATAATAACATACTAAAAACATTGGTAGAATTAACATAATAAAATATGTACCCTACCAAAACCAGTCTACAGATTCAATACAATGTCCATCAAAATTACAATGCAATTATTCACACACCTTGAGAGAAAATTTTGGCTTCATATATATGAAAACACAAAATCCCCAGAAGAGCTAAAACAATCCTGAGTAATGGAAGAATTATGTACGGGGGGGGGGGCATGGGTACCACCCCCCAATTTCAAGGTCTATTACAGAGCTATCATTAAAAAAAAAAAGACAGCATTGGTCAAAACAGACATTTCAGCCAATGGAATCAAATTGAAGACCCAGACATAAGTCCATTTACCTATGGACATATGTATATGTATATATCTATGTATGTGTATGTATATTTCTGATTATGTATATGTATATATATACAACACACATACATATACATATTCCAGAAATACACATTGGGAAAAAAATCTCAACACATGGTGCTGGTCAAAATGAATGGCTTCATGAAAAAGAATCCAAATAGAACCATTTTATCATGCTGCATAAAACTCAACTCAAAATGGATCAAAGATCTCAACATAAAACCAGATACACTGAACCTGTTAGAAGAAAAAGTGAGGAATAGCCTTGAACTCAACAGCACAGGAGACTTTCTGAACTGAACACCGGTAGCACAGGCACTAAGATCAATAATTAATAAATGGAACCTCATGTGACTGAAAAGCTTCTGTTAGGCAAAGGACACTGGCAATCACGCAAAGCAGAAGCCTGCAGAATAGGAAAAGATTTTCACCAACTACACATCAAATAGAGGAATGATATCTAAAATATTAGAAGAACCTAAAAAAATAGATATCAAGAAAACAAATATACCAATTTAAAAATTGGGTATAGATCTAAACAGAGAATTAACAATAGAGGAAATTCAAATAACTGAGAAACACTTAAATGTTTAACATCCTTAGCTTTTAGGGAAATGCAAATCAAAACTACTTCGAGATTTCATCATATACCTGTCAGAATGGCTAAGACCTGTAAAACAAGAGACAGCTTATGCTAGAGAGGATGTGGAGAAAGGAGAACACTTCTCCATTGCTGGTGGGAGTGCACACCTGTACAGGCACTATTAAAAACCATGTGGTGTTTAGTAGGGAATATAGAATTGATGTACCCCAAGATACACCTGTAACACTCTTGGTCATATACTCAAAGGATGTTCATCCTACTACAAGGACACTTGGTCAGGCATGTTTATTGCTGCTCTATTCATAATAGCCATAAATTGGAAACAAACTAGATATCCCACACAGAAAAATGGATAAAGAAAATGTGACACATTTCCTTTATAAGTGGAGTATTACTCAGCCATTAAAAACTGAAATCATGAAATTTGCAGGTTAATGGATGGAACTAGAAAAAAATAATTCTGAGTGAGGCATCTCAGGCCCAGAAATACAAACATGTTTTGCATCTGCCTATTTGTGGATATTAGCTGTTAACTCAATTATAAATAAGCTGCAATCCATAGAACCATAGAGGTAAGGTATAGAGTAAGGGGTTGGGGGTGGTGGTGCAGATAGATCTCCCTAGGATGGCATCCATCTAGGATGGATGGATTGGCGGAGCTAGAATGGGAGGATCAAGTGGGGACGAAGAAGGAGAGGGCAACAAGGGAGGCTACAAAGAGAGAGATAGCCAAAACAGGGCCATTTGAGGGGTCGTATGGAAACCTAATACAGTAGAAACTTCCTAACATATACACACATATGAAGGTGATCTAAATGAAAACACTAAATAATGGGTGAGACAGAGCACCCCAACTAGTTATCTATTGTCACCAATGACCCTGGGTCTGGGTTACATCTAATTGAGTTGTTGGCCAAAGAGGTCACATGGGAATCCCCACATAACCCAGTCTGTTTCTAAGACAGTTTTCTCTTTACAAACTGATGTCAGGGCCCCTTAACTGATACTACTGAAGACAACACATACATAACTTCATTGAACATAGAGAAGTTGAGCTAGTGCCTACATGGCCTTCACACCTATGTGCTAGCATCTTTGGTACAGAAAGGTACTCTACATGCCACCAAAAGAGAAAAGTAAACACCAACTGGGCCACAAACCCTTTGATCTACAATTGGTATTCTAGGGCAATGGTGGCATAAAGCTAGAAGGAGTAATCAGCAAATATCTGATTTGACTTAAGGCCCACTCCATGGAATGGAATCCATTACTGACACTACTTGGATGGCCAACAACCTGAGACTAGATAGCCAATCTTTCAACCATTTCTTCCATGATCTTCCTTGAGCTTTAGGGTTTGGATTTCATTGTAATTGTGCCTTCCACAGTCATTTATTTTCTGGCTTATTACAGGTGTGGATCTCTGTAATAATCTCCATCTGCCACAAAAGCACCTTTGATGGAGGAAAACAGCTACATTTATGTTTTAAAGCAGGAAAAGCACAGTGTTACCTTATATAAATCATTGATTTTAAGATTCAGATTATCCTCTTAAAATGGTTTTGTAAGTGAAATGATTATATTAGATTATAGAGACCAAATTACTAAATAAAAGATTTAATTATAGAAATTTTTGGTGAACCATAGGCTTTATTGGGCTTTAATACAGGTTTTTTAAAACAGTTTTTAAAAATAATTTATTTTCAGGAAGTGGTCGGCTATGACAATGCATTCAAGGGTACTTCTGACTTTCTCTTTTAAGAGGTTCAGCATGGCTGAATTCATGTTGAGGTCTTTGATCTGTTTGGATTTAAGTTTTGTGCATGGCCATAGATATTTATCTACCGGCAATTTTCTACATGTCAGCATCCAGTTATGCCAGCATCATTTGTTGAAGATGCTTTTTTTTCCATTGTATAATTTTAGCTTCTTTGTCAAAAATCAGGTGATCATATGTATGTGGATTAATATCAGGGTCTTCAAGTTGGGCGATGGTGGTGGAAGCCTTGAATCCCAGCACTCGGGAAGCAGAGGCAGGCAGACTTCTGTGAGTTAGAGTCCACCTTGGTCTACAGAGAGTTCCAGGACAGTCTCCAAAGCAATACAGAGAAACCCTGTCTCTATCAAAAAAATCAGGGTCTTTAATTCAATTTCATTGGTCAACCTGTCTGCTTTTGTACCAATACCAAGCTGTTTTCATTACTAAAGCTCTATAATAGGACTTGAAGTCAGGGATGGTGATGCCTCCTGAAGTTCCTTTATTGTACAGGGTTGTTTGGCTATCCCGAGTTTTTTGTTTTTCCATATAAAGTTAAATATTGTTCTTTCAAGGTCTGTGAAGAATTGTGCTTGGATTTTGATGGGGATTGCATTGAATCTGTAGATTGCTTTTGGCAAGATTGCTATTTTTACTGTATTGATCCTACCTATCTGAGAGCATAGGAGATTTTTCCATTTTCTGCTATCTTTATTAATTTCTTTCTTTAAAGACTCAAAGTTCTTGCTATAAAGGTCTTTTACTTGTTTGGTTAGAGTTACCCCAAGATATTTGATGTTGTTTGTGGCTATTGTGAAGGTGATATTTCTCTGATTTCTTTCTTAGCTCATTTATCATCTATATATAGGACGACTACTGATTTTTTAGAGTTAATCTTGTATTCCACCACTTTATTGAAGTTGTTTATCAGCTGTAAAAGCTCCCTGGTAGAATTTTTTAGGCCACTTATGTAAACTATCTTATCATCTGCAAATAATAAGTTTGGTTTCTTCCTTTCCAATTAGTATCTTCTTGATCTCCTTTTGTTGTCTTACTGCTTTAGTTAGCACTTCAAGCATAATATTGAAGAGATATAGAGTGAACAGCCTTGTCTTGTTCCTGTTTTTAGAGGAATCACATTGAGTTTCTCACCATTTAATTTGGTGTTGGCACTCTGGAAATCAGTATGGTGGTTTCTCAGGAAAATGGGACTCAGTCTACCTCAAGATCCAGCAATCCACTATTAGGTATATACCCAAAGGATGTACATTCATACCACAAGGAAATCTGTTCAACTATGCTCATATTGGCACTATTTGTAATAGCCAGAACCTGGAAGCAACCTAGATGCCCTTCAGCTGAAGACTGGATAAAGAAAATGTGGTATGTTTCCACAATGGAGTATTCTGAGTGGGAGAAAAAACAATGGAATCTTGAAATTTGCAGGCAAATGGATGGAACTAGAAGAAACCATCTTGAATGAGGTAAACCAGGCACAGAAAAAAAAGATGGTATGTACTCAGTCAAAAGTGGATATTAGACATTGAGCAAAGGATAACCAGCCTAAAATCCACAACCCCAGGGAAGCTAGGAATCAAGGAGGACCCTAAGAGAAGGGGAAAGGGACAAGATCTCCTGAGTAAACTGGGATCATGGGTGAGGGGGAAAGGAAGGAAGAGAAAGAGGAGGGGTGGAGGGAGGAGCACAAGAGGGATCAGGAAGGTCAAGTTGGGGGAAGAACAGAGGAAGAGAACAAGGAAAGAGATGCCTTAATAGAGGGAGCCATTAAGGGCTTAATGAGAAATCTGGCACTAGGGAAGTCTCCAGGGATCCACAAGGATGACCCAAACTGGAAATGTAAGCAAAAGTGGAGAGGCTACCTTAAATCACCTTCCTCTATAATGAGATTGATGACTACCTTAAATGCTATCCTAGAGCCTTCATCCAGTAGCTGATGGAAGCAGAAACAGAGATTCACAGCTAAGCACTGAGCCAAACTCCTGGAATCCAGTTGTAGAATGGGAGGAATGATGAGCAAAGGAGTCAAGACCATGTTGGGGAAACCCATAGAAACAGCTGACCTGAGCAAGTGGGAGCTCAGGAACCCCATACTGGCTCTGGGGAACCAGCATAAAACAGAACCAAGCACCCTGAATGTGGATGCCAGTTGGGGGACCTGATCAATCTATGGGGCCTCCGGCAGTGGAATAAGTATTTATCCGGAGTGCACGAATGGTCTTTGGGAACCCATTCTCTATGAAGGCCTAAATACATGGGGAAGGGCCTAGGTCCTGCATCAAATGATGTGTCAGACTTTGGTGATGGGAGGCCTCCCCCTCCCTGAGAAGTGGATGGGGGCGTGGAATTGGTTGGTTGGTAGAGGGAATGGGAGGACAGGCAGGAGAGGGAACTGGAATTGGAACGTGAAATAAGATTGTTTTCATTTAAATAAAAATTAATTTAAAAACAAAACCAAACAAAATAAATAAATAATGTATTTTCATGTTCATTGGTGTTTTGCTTGTGTGTATGTCTGGGCAAGGGTGTCTGATCCCCTGGGACTGGAGATACAGACAGTTGTGTGTTGTCATGTGGGTGCTGGGAATTGAACCCAGGTCCTCTGGAAGAGCAGATGGTAAGCTTATTTTCTCCCCTGAGATAGAGTTTCCCTGTGTAGCTCTGGCTGTCCTGGAAGTCACTCTGTAGACTAGGCTTGCCTAGAAACTCAGATATCTGCCTACTTCAGCATCTGCAGTTCTGGGATTAAAGGAGTGTGACTCAAATTAAAAAAATAGATAAATAAGTAAGTACATAAATAAATGCCATACACATCCACATGCAAATTAATATGGAGTCCCTTCAAGCTAACTGTTTATGACCTACACTAGACTATGATGATTTTACCCAGTTTTAACAACCTGTAAGGGTCGAATGGTGGTGGTGGCTGTAGTGGTAGCAGAGGAAACAGTGGCAGTAGTGTAGCATTCACTCATTTATTATTAATAATAGAAACTTAATCTGAATAAGTGAGTTTTAAGGGGGAAATGGGCAAAATATTTGTGACAGAATTTAGTAGGGATGGGAGTGTGGGGCCAACACAGAAGGAAAGAGAGGAGAGTAAAATAATGCTAAGGGGGTCTGAAACTGCATTAGGAATCATATTCTTTGTTAAAGTTATACACAACAATACAAGTCTGTAAGTATATATTTCAAATGAAATAATCCTACTTGGGTTGACGATAATACCCCTGGAACCATAGACTTTCACAAAAACCCCAGTACCAGGCATGAGAAACACCCATTTGTGCTGTTAGTCAGGAAGACCAAGAGACTCCACAAACAATATGAAGTATTGCTATACTTCAGTCACAAGAACCAGACACCCTGAGCTGAATCTGATCTGAAAGCCTCCTTCCTGAAGACTAGCTTTCAGAGCACCGACAGGTGACTAGCATGTTTCTAAATGAGGAAAGCAACCAATATTGCTAACCTGCTGCAATATCTATAAACCACAATAACACCCATCATGGTCTGATAACAGTAAGGGCACAACAGTACCATCTATATCTTATTGCTAGACGTAAGCCCTGATCAACAGAAGGGAAATCATGTCTTTTACTGGGAACCTCGCCAACCAGCCAGGGCTAGTGAGGTAGTGGATCTTAGAAGAGAACATACTATTGCTACTTTACTGACCCATCATAATTTATAATTCTAAATATCTGTCTTATATCCACAGATATGTGTAACTCACATCGAAGGAAGTTCTTTTTTTCTCTTTTCAATAGGAGGCTGCTATAGAAAACCACAATTGGTCAAATCTCGGAAAGCAATAGGAAGCTATTTGAGGGCTTTGAGCAGAAGAGGTATTGCTCTAACCAATGTGTTACTAGTCAAATGAAACAAAGCAAAAGCAGATAGTTTCTACAACAGACTGATGCAATGGTGTGGACCTTGTAAGAACAGCAAAATATAGATGATGGGACAGCAAAACCTAGATAATGGGACAGCAAAATCTAGATGATGGGAAAAATGAGACACAAACCATGTAGAAAGTGAGACATGGTAGGATTCTGGACATTGTCTGAGTCTGAAAGGTTTACTTATGGATTGGATATGGATGTGAAATGGAGGAGTCAAGGATGAGTTAAGGATGACTTTGTGGTTCAGTTCCCTACTCTTCTACTTGTTTCCCAAGTCATTCTAAGTTATCTTGTGCTATACCAATGTTCCATTACCCAACTGGTCCATTAATCTCTTTGGCCTCATTTCTGCTAAGCTCTTTTGTTCTAAATGTCCCAAGTGATCCAGGCATACTCACATCTCAAATTTCTTTGTTCTTGTTTATTGTTGGCTCAAAAAGTCTTCTCTTTATCATGCCTTCTCTGTCTCCCTTCACTGCTCTTGAGATTTCTTCCCTAGTATTTATTTCATGGTGTTGTACATTTAACTTCTATGACACCCTGTCTTTCAACTATTTGGTCAATGAATAAAACTGCTCTTGTCTATATTTTATCTACCACCTGCACAAGTGTTCATATGTAGTTCACATCTAATAAATACCTGAATAAATTAACAATCCTCCATCTCTTCCCTCTAACTCCTTCCACATGCTCCATCTCAAATTCATGACCTCTTCATAAAGATTATTATTGTCACATATATAAATGAATAAAAATATTAACAAAATCTGCCGAATCTATTTAGGGTTGATTGTGTGTACATTTTCGGGGCTGACCACTTGGTATTGAATAGCTAAGCTCAGCCCTGAGGAAGACTAACTCTCTCAGTGGTTGTTAACTACCTATAGCTCTTTGTCAAGGGATAGGGGCCCTGGAGTACCTTCTTTCATGTTAGCATATCTATTAGTGTTCTTGGTCAGTCTTATTTGATCAGTCATTATTGTTGAGTTTTCATGGGTTCAGGTTTTTAAGATATTATATTTTTAAGACTTACATCTCTCTGAGAAGCTAATGAAAGCATTTATAATTCAAAATAGAACCACACAGGTGCTTTTGCTTTATAAATAAATACATTTGTATAACAGAGATCAGCATCCCCTTAAGATCCATCTACAGCTCCATTAATAGTTTTAAGATCATAGTTAGGAACATAGATATACAGATAGAGATAAGGACAGAGATACATGACAGATGGATGGATGGATGGATAGATAGATAGATAGATAGATAGATGATAGATAGATAGATAGATAGATGATAGATAGATAGATAGATAGATAGATAGATAGATAGATAGATAGATAGATAGTCAGGCAATTGGAGAGAGCTTGCAGAGTTTGCCCAGCTCTTGGTGTCATATGCATCTTAACTACTATTTTTATTTAGACAGCAAAGTAATTTTTGCTCCAACAAATTTTCTATGATATTAATATATAAGTAGTGCTAACAATGTTGGCCTATGTACTGTTGAAAATACAATATACTATAAATGTTTAACTGTTTTTATGACCATGTGTTCTCTTAAAATTATTATTCATGGCTTTAATTTATCCTTTTGAATAAATTTTTCTCAAGGAAAGTCAGTAGTGAAAACTTGGGAAAATGGGACTCAACACAGAGAAATATGATTCCCAGAAAACTGTCATGAAATGGACCTTCAAACATAAATTTATCTTGTGAGGAAAATATTCATTATAAACACACATAAATACCTCATCAGTCATTAAAGTTGCAATAGATCTGCCGATCTCATGGTATTGCTGACCTTTTCCCAGGGGTCCCAGAAGAATGAACAGAAATCTGTAATTAAGAAGAAAAAAAACTTGAGCTAGAAATGTAACAATAAACTTAGTAGAGCAGAATCACCCATCTCAATGGAATCACTCAAACGGAGGACTTTGATGTGAAATATTTGTGTAAGTTCTGACTGTTCATTATGATTTTGAAAATTTTTCTGCTTGAGACTTCTGTATAATGTCATCAGGCAATGAGAATACTGGGTTGTTTTTATCCCCAGGGTTTTTGCATTTTACTGTCTACATAGCACATGCATTTGTGACTAGGAACTGTAAACATTTTATGTCCTTAGAAGAGAATGATAGGAAATTAAATCTTTTTGTACAGGAAGCAGAAAAGTTCACAAGTACACAAAATGAAGAAACATTCAAGTGGAAGAAAGGCACTATAGTATTATACATTAAGGGAGAACATATTATTAACATCCAGTCACTATATACACACTTTTATTGAACACAAAAACTGCTAGGACTTAAAGATTAGTTGGGCAGAAGAAAAGAAAAAGGTGTGAAAATTAAAGAATGCCATGTATTTTTCAGTAGTATTCTGTAGTGCTCTTGTGCTAAGTGGTTTACATTATTAAGGACGACTCTATCAGATGTAGTTCTTAGTTAATATAATTCCATGCTTTGCTTAACTGTAAGCTTTAGAGATTGTATCATTGTGCTTTTTAAATTTTAATTAGGCTGCTGATTTAATTTAGAATTAGAATGTTCATATTTTGGCAATTTTCAAATACAGAAATACTACATGTGGCATATAGACTATAGATTTTGTTTCCCATTGCTACAGAAGAATTTATGGAAATAAAATTTTATGAGACAAATGCAAATCTACATGCTTATATTTAAGTGTGTACATCTGTATACTAACCTTAACTAAAGCATTTCAAGCAATACCAACAGTGCTAGTTATATATTCCCAAAGACTTAACTATTTTAAGGATACATGTTTTAAAAACAATTATGTCAAAGGCAAAAATGAAGAATCAAGATAATCTTTGTGGTTTTCAGTATTACTTCAAAAAGCTCTCTATCCTCCATAGAAGAAACTATGCATTTGTTTATTCTAGAAAAATATATAAAAAGATAATGCTATCATGTAAAGGATTCACAAAGCCTAATTGTATATCCCATGAAAGCCAACCCACTGAAGGTAAACAGCAGTTATGGTCCCTACTGTATGATAGACACACCATTAGCTTTCCTCTTTGACAACAAGGGTTTATCTTGAGATTCATCATTTTATATGAAGCATCTATTAGATAACTGATAATTCTATCAGTTATAATTGAGCCCAAATAAAATTAGACTCTCTCTGTCCCCGTGTGTGTGCACACAGTTAATATATAAAAAACAAGAATAGTTGAATGTGATGGCAGAAGCTTTATCAGCTATAACACTTCTGAGAAAATTTCTAACCTGTATCTTGCTATTTTTAAAGTTTCTATTGCATGTGCTCTTTATAAAGCCCTAAAAGATCACTGTTCTGACTTAATCACTACAGGTTGCCTTTGTAGTCATGGCATGCCCTTTTTTTCCTCCTAAGAGAGGATAATTGGGGTTCAAAGATAGTTTTCTTTATTCTATTTGTCTAATCTTCCATTTTCCACCTTTACTAAATAAATAGCCCAGTCCTTTCAATCTGTCCCTGCACAGTAGTTCTGTTGTGCCCCAATTTTTTTCTTCATTGTCTCTACACATACTTTGCTGAAAAAGCCTGACACTTTTCAAAGTGAGGGTATATAACACTATTATGGCTATACTCTACTATTGGGAATTTTTCTTTTCTTTGAAATACAACAACTGTCAATGTCATAAGCAGCCCTCTTTTTTCTCAAAGGTCTCCAAATACCTTTCTCAGTGGTGAAATACGAATATCCAACTGAATGAGATTTTGAAACAGCTACAATGTCTCTACAATTAGAAAACATGACACATGAAATCAGAATCCTAGATTTTCATAGAAGAAACTATGCATTTGTTTATTCTAGAAAAATATATAAAAGGATAATGCTATCATGTTTTTGTTGTTGTTGTTTGTTTTGTTTTTTTGAGACATGGTTTTTCTGTGTAGCCCTGGCTACCCTGGAACTCACAGAGATCCTCTTGCTTCTGCCTCTCAAGAGCTAGGATTAGAGGGTGTGTATATCAGGCTTTCTTTTTTTGGCCACCAACCAGCTCCCAACCATGACATGGAGACTTACTATTAGTTTTGAATGTTTGGTCAAGAATAGGCTCATTTTTGGCTAGTTCTTTTAACTTAAATCAACCTGTTTCTATCTTTTGTCTCTGGCTTTTTACTTTTTCTTTCCATCTGTATATCTTACTTTCAATATTTCTTATGTTTGTTGTCTGGCAGCTGCCTGGCTTCTGACTCTGGGCATGTCCCTCATTCTCTCCTCTCTTATCCTCTTTTCTCCTTTTCCAAGGCTAGATTCCTCCCTTTTTAATTCTCTTTGCCTGCCAGCCCCACCTACCCCTCTCCTGCCTAGCTATTGGCCATTCAGCTTTTTATTAGACCAATCAAGTGCCCTAGGCAGAGAAGGTAAAACAAATGCAACACACCTTTACATGATTAAACAAATGCAACATAAACAAATGTAACACACCTTTACAGAGTTAAAAAATTTTCTACAGCATAAACAAACGTAACACATCTTTGCCTAGTTACAATAAAATTCTACAACAGGTGTGCGCCACCACTGCCTGGCATCCAGAAACTCTTAATACTATGTAGTTTATGTGTAGAAAAATATAGCCTTATTCACACAATTATATACTATTTTAATACAATAAGTTTACCTCCCCATTTTAAATTGAAAGTTGAACTCACTCTTTCTGGGGAGCAGAAATTGTATGGGATAGATAGGGTGTTAGTGGGGGCAGGGGAGGACGGGAGGGAGAGGGAACTGAGATTGACATGTAAAATAATCTTGTTTCTAATTTAAATAAAAAATGGAGGAAAAAAAGAAATAAAGTTGATATGTGAATCAGTGTCTTTCAAATGGAATACATGGAAATTGACTTCTATAACCATAATTGTAACCAGGTTTGTCACTCAGATCAAGCAAACAAGTGCTCCAACTGAACACCTATAGAGATGCCTTACCAAAAGGGTCCCTACAGAATGAGGCTTCTCCTACCACTATTCCCTACTTCTTTAATCTTATCTGTAACTAAATTGTGGAGTGATTTGTGTTATATTTTGACTTATAGTCAGATGTTCACAGAATTAAAAATATTCTTAAAACCCACTTGACAAAGCCACAGCACTTCTCAACTCTTTCAGTTTCCCTAAGTAGACAGGCTCTGCCATGGCTAAACAAAGCCAGGTGTGAATAGGACTCAGATGAAACGGTCTCAGGAGAGACCGAAATAAGATTCCTAGATAAAGCAGCAAATCTACAATCCTAAAGTCAATATTCTACTTTTTGTTTTCTCAAAGTTTTACCCATGAGCACCTGTCTATTAAGCAGGAATCACTAATAATAAAACTCAGTTTTTATTATTTTTATCTATTAGTTTTAATATATCATTAAATAGAAACATGTCCAGGTAACCAAATTAAACTTTGTCTTTTGACCAGAATCAACTATTTTCATTGGATGACTACCAAAGATTCTTCAAAATCTTGGAATGAAAGACCAAATATGCTAGGCTTGAAACATGAAACATTTGACCCCAACCCAGCCATTCCCACAGATGTTGAAGGCCTAATCCAACATAGCTGTCTTTCCATGATCCTCTCTGTTATGACTACACACTGAAATCCTCTTCCGTGTGCTCAATATAATATTTGAAAAACTGTGAAACAGACCTGGATTCTACACTGTGGAGCATGCCAAAAATGAAATAGGAAGTTTCAGAAGGAGAAGGAGAGGGTTTAGTACGTCTTAAAGCACTCCTCCAAGTTAATAAACAAGAAACAGCAGGTTCATGGATAATACATTCATTTCTAATCAAGGATCTATCAGAAAATTTCATTAAAATATTACTATTTCCTAAAATAAATTAATCTACAAGCACAAAAACTGCTTGGATACTTTTACCTGCTTGGGATTGGAACTTCAGCCAGGCCTTGGAGCAAGACAGCTGGAGACAACCTGACAAACGCAACTACAGTTCTCTCTAGGAACTCCAGCTCTCCCACCAAGATGTTTGAAGCCTCAGCACCTGGAGGAATCTTCTTCATAAAATGCAGATCAACCTGAGAGCATCAAAAGCAAATATTTTAATCATGTTTAATTATAGTGTCAACAAACTTAATGTTTTATAATAGATGAATTTTATGTTTCAACTAATATTCAACATATGACTACTTTAAAATAAATAACATAATATAGCTTTAACATTTATTTTAGTTCTAATTGTAATATGTTCTTTATATTGTATAGTTGGCCTGAGAAATTTTTCAGTTTAAGTTATTCACCATATAACTAAGGTATGACAGAATAAAGAAAAATAAGTTAAAAGTAGAGCATTTAGAATTACTGTAGACCTATAATTGAATTTCTACTATGAAATGTCTGTGATTTAAGTGAATGAAAATAAAACAAAAAGGACCACTAAAAAGAAGAAATGCTAAAAGAAAAGGGTGATGTCTGAAAATGCATGTAGAATAGTCTTTAAATACATATCATTTTTATGCATGGGGCTTCAATGAAAATGAAGCAGTGACTTTAAAGTAAAATTTGCAAGGCCTATTTCTTGTTTCTAACTCATTTGAGTTGCTTTTTATGGAACGATGTTTTTAGGGACTAGAAGTCTATCTGCCCTAGTAATTGGTTTTATGCAATTATGCTAATGAAAAGAGGACCAAGAATCAAAGTGAGAATAACTGAGAGAGAGAAAGAGAGAGCTGTCATGTATCAATGAGGCTAAGAAGATGTTTTTAGATAAGAAAATTATTTTGAAGGCTTAAAAATCAGAAAATCCTATTCCAAGAAGTTTTAAACTACCTTATATGCACATAAGTAACATTATACAGACCAAGTAGCTTATATTTTAAAACATATATGTACATAAACACACATATATGCATTTGTTTAATAACAATTAAAAGAAGAGGACATAAATTTGGAAGACAGCAAGAAAGGATATATGGAAGAGTTTGGAGGGAGGAAAGAAAAGGGAGAAATGATATAATTATATTATAACCTCAAAATTAAAAGAATTTTAAATATACCTTATAAATCAATAGCTACAGTCTAAAGATTATGTTTAAAATGTTTCTGGAATTACAGTATTAGTACATTTATTTAAAGATATGTAATATATTTATATTGTAAGCTATGACTATTAAAATAGTGAAACACAGTACATATATCTGTATTTCATTAAAAGGATTAAATTTAATAGCAGTTTATATAGCTGTAATAGTAGAGCATTTGCCTAGCACGTAGTTGGATTTACATAGCCTCTCCAGCACTGAAAAAAAAAACCACAAGGAAAAAATAACAATATGTATCATTCTATTAATGGTATAGTGATACTTTATCTCACAGAATCATTTATGATATAAAAGTATGCATATAAATATTTCACAAATATTATAAGCTACAAGCTCCATCATTTTTTCTATAAATATACCTCCAATATAAATGTATAAGTTCTTCAACTATGTATGACAAATATTACTTGCCATATATTTTGATTTTGTAGATTGTAACCTTTTAATTCATGGGTAAGCATGGCTCATTTGTGGCCTTATTGTGATATTTGAAATGCTTTAAATTAGTAATGTTTATACTTTTGCCATAATGGAAAAGATTCCAGGAAAAGGATAAAGGTTTCCTATACCATATATGTTGAGATATTTTGTTGTTGTTATTGTGAATGTGCACGTGTGATAAATGTGCATGTGTACATGTTTGTGAGTGTGCACACATATGTGTGTGCATGTATGTGAATGCTGGAAGTTAATGTCAGATATCTTCCTCTATCTTATACAATGGAGCAATGTCTCTTTAACCCAGAGCTCACTGATTCCTTTGATATACCCAGTCAGCCTGTGTCAGGGATCCCTGTCTCTGCTTCCTGAGTGTTAGGTTTACAGGCAGTTGACCAGGACTGCTGGCATTTATGCGGGTGTTAGGAATCTGAATGCAATCCCTCACATTTGAACAGCCTACCTAGCCACTCTTAGTACTATGGGGAATATGTAATATTTTTTTAAATTCAAAATTTAAAAGAATAAATAACTAAATGTTATCAACCCATAGAAAGAACTATTAATACAATAGAACAGAAATTTAAGAGAGAAATGAACTTTTTACAAAGATCAATAGAGGCTTCTGAGATGGCACATGCATTTACTGCCAAATATAAGACCTGAGTTCAATCCCTTGAACCTAAGTGCTGGAAGAAAACAACTGACTACTGCATTCTGTCCTCTAATCTTCACATATACACTGTAGCATACAAATGCCCCCACCCAAGCACACACACACTCACATACACAAACAGATATAATACAAATTTTAATTTAAAATAAAAACTTAATTTGCAATTAATATGAAATTTATTGGTAATGCTTTAAGTATAAATTCTACCTAGAAGATTTTTTTCAAATTCATTTCTTACTCAACAAATATAAAAGTCTTTGCTATTAAAGTCTAGATCTCAGAGAAGGGGTAGATATAGAATTAATTGTTTTAAATTGAAATTCAGTTGAGTCAAGGATTGCATAGTATATTAAAGAAGTTTAGTTTACAAAAATGTGACCATTGTAAAAATGTGACATTATACATGATTTTAAATAACATTGAACCAGATACATGATTCTAGATCTCAGAGAAGGAGCACATACAGAATTTATTGCTTTAAATTGAAATTCAGTTGAGTCAAGGATTGCATAGTGTATTTAAGAAGTTTAATTTACAAAAATGTGACCATTATACATGATTTTTAAATAATATTGAACCAGATATATAATTTACTAGAAAAAGCTATGGGGAATCTGATTTCAAGATCAGTAAACTTATTGTTTTATTTTAAATATAATAAATTATACTCATATGTGTCTGTGATCAATCATTGTATTGAAATCATATTATGTTATTCTTGTACTACATGGATATTTAGTGAAGGTGATATATTTCACAATACATTAATCATGGTTATATTTTCAGATTAAATTATACCTAGAGTAGTCCTATATTTTTATGCTTACATTCACAATTCAAAAAGAATCTCTTTTAGAAATATCTCCACCTCTTATTAAAACAAAAGGTTACATTTAAGAACAACACATTTAATCTTGTATAAATTTATAGCTACCTAAAGAGTACTTGAGGGTCTTGGTTACGATGTCTTTCTAAGACAATCCTCTAGTGGACCTAAACACTTGAAATGGACATAGAAAAATCCTAGAAGTTTCTAGTGCTTTGAAGAGAACTTTGAAGAATCAAGCTACATTTTGGGAGTTGTGGATTTATACCATATTTCTAGACTCTGTGGGCCCTACAGATATGCCAAGAAGGGATAGATGGCTGATTCTAGCTATTTGGGATTTAAACTGTTGGTGAAAATAGCTATCTCTACGCAACAAGATAAGAGAGAAGACCATGATGGAGCTGGAGATGCCTGATCAAGGCATCTTAGAGATGAAAGAAAAGGAGATGAAGATTTAAGGAGAAAGCTAGAGTCTTAAGCCTATTAGCAAAAGCACAGCAGTTAATAGAGGTTCTTTCAAGGTAAATGGTGCCTGCCTGACACTATTGGGGAGCAGGTGGCATTTTTAAGTTCTCTAGGACTCAGTTTTTATCCCTAAATGATATGACTAAGATTCTTAATCCTAATATGCTTCGTGCACAGCAGAAGAAAGATGCAAAAAAGAGAGGTTCTTTCTAGGTAGGTAATTATGGAACACTTCTTTAGGGCATTTGAAATAAAAGAATCACTGTTGACATAAAATAGCCATTTCTCCTGTGTTTATAAATAAGTAGAACAAAGAGGTTTACAGGATTTTGAAACACCTACTTTTTTGAAGGCTTAATGGGACGAGCCATAATCTGATGTAGTAGATTATGTTAATTTGTTACTTAATTAAATAAGCCTGATGGGCCTAATCACTGTTGAGGCTAAAAATATATAGATTGAAGGCTGATAGAACACAGGATCAGGTTACATAAAATGTAAAAGGGCCTTTTTAATATCTCAATCTTTGAGATTTATTATCCATATAACATTAAGATATTGAAATGGACACAGTATTGTGGAGATTAGCTGAATTATAATGAATTGACCACCAAACTGAAATAATTTGGTTAAAAACATCTTAACTTGCATACCTTCAAAATCTGGCACTAAGAATTGTTTCCATAGTGATGGGTCACAACAATGCTCTCCAAACTCTAATTTTCTGCTCTACCAGGTTATAAAACTAGGAATGTTTCTAGTTTTGTTTTAATGCTCTAAAACTGAGGAGTTAAAACTATTTTGAATCTTACAAGATTCCTTCAAAAAATCTGTCTCAAACATTGTTAAAAGTGCTAAAGATTCAGTGGAAACCAGCATATTAAATCTGGTCTGGAATTTATTTTGACACTACCATTCCCACTCTTAATACAGTGGTCACTTTTCCTTGAGTAGCTACTTTATGCTGAGTCTGACAAACTGTAATAGCATTAAATCTCCACAACAAAACAATTAACATGCATGATACTTATTTTGGGCAATATTAAGGCTGCAGTATACAGAGCCTGTTCTAGACACATAGCATTCAAAAGGTGTGTTCTTTCCAATGAACAGTGCTATGAACAAAAGACAGAGGGATGCAGATGGCTAGTCTAAATTTCTACATCAGATGGGCCAGCAAATGAAAATGAAATGATGAAGGAAAGGATTAAAAGAGAGAAAATCTATTTTTCACATTTCTGTAGCTCTAATTGTTAGAGGGTGCTGGGGATGAGACTACTGTCCTGTCTTTAATTGGTGATCTTCACATCTCTTTAATGGTGTTGAATTATTTTTTAAGGTCATGAAGGTAAGTCACCATAAACTCCAAAGTAATATGGAAATGTATTTCAATGTATAGGGTATTTTTAGCTCAAAAATAATTTATTTAAAGGATAATTAATCTCCGTAGTTTAAAAAAATCACTGTTTTTGAAAAATGTCATATATTCCATTGTTATAAGATAGTCATTTTTTATATTATCACTTTTAAGATTGAATTTATTTTGAATTAAGAACAGCAGAAATTAAATTTATGGCAGTTTGTGACAGTTTTACTATAACTTACAGATGAATGATGATGTAATGCTTTAAAGATATAATTCTTAGAGTGGCAGATGGAATACATGTAAACTGGCTTAATATTGGAAGTACATGCCTCCATACAGTGAAATGAGCTTTGAACTACTGTAGAAATAGAGCCCAAATATGCCCTCACCTCTCTCTCTTGCTGGTGTGGAGGTCCTTTGTCATGCCTTTGTTTCATCCCACATGGACTAGTATGCCCCTTTTGTTGGCCTCCCAGTCCCTGCACGCACAATTAACAGACTTAAGCTGGTACATCATGCTCCCACAATACTCCATCAGGCACCAGAGGGAAAGCATGCACAGAACTAGCCTAGCTCATGTAGATATTGTCCCAGGATGCTAAAACAGGTCCAAGGAGCAGACTGTCATTAAACTTTCAGAACTTTGGTTTAGATTATTTCCTCGTACAATGTCCATTCCCACTTCCTCCTGTTGCTAATGCTAAGGGCTTTATCAAGTACTAACTACTTCCTTATCAGCCATTCAGATAAAATTGTTCAACATTCTTACTTTTGACCAATATTAAAACTTCTCTGATCTACTCAACTGTTACTTTGTCACAGCTACCATAGCTCATATACAAAGTCTGGGATGCATTAAACAAAAATTTCTTCATTTTCATTAACTCATTTTTAAAGGTATATCCAAATAAATTATTTTATTTAGATAATATCCAACAAGAAATAACTCTCAACATAACCAGCCCTTAGACATGTTTCTATTCAAGCTTCTATTGTTACCTTCTAGGGTATCCTTACACTGACTTCTAATTATATAACTAGACAAAAGATTTATATCAGATGATTTGTTTTCTAGACAATAGGAAGATTATTTTGAGGGCGAAATCTAGCAAATATTTTAAAACAACAGATTAAGCTCCCTATGAAATCCACGTGTCCTTTTTACTGCAAGAGATACATTACAACAAGTGGCTGAATCCAAAAGATGATTCGTAAAACTAACACACTTGTTTTCCTAAATAAGCAAAGCCCTGAACTGAACTCTCACATTGTCTATAACAATTTCAAGCTTTGGTTGAGAAACCAAATAAAGGCATGTGAATGCATGTGTCAACAGGTAACACACTTCGACTAGTGATTTAGCAGCTTACTTAGATGGAAGAAAGAAAAGCTTACCTTGCTAAAGTCAACAGTGCTGTTTTCCCTGCTAACATCATTTTTATTCTCAGCACAGGCTGGAGCAGACTGAGGAGAAACAAGCTGACCTGCTGAAAGAGATTGTTATTACAGAATACAAACAATTACTTACACAGTTCTAGGCATACTGGGTGAAAGATGAACTTCAATTTAACTAAACTAACTAGAATTTTTAATAAGCTTATGATGTAAGCATGAACATTAAATTAAATAGAACTACATAAATATAGGGATTATCAGTTACAGATAGAAATGGGAGAAGTCAATCAAGAACTTTAAACCAATTATCAATTTTAAACTCTAAATTATTATACTCTTTGAAGAAATTCTGCCTTCAAAACAATTAAATTTAACCATAATTTAAAGTTCATTGACTTCAAAGTATCAATCAAAACTAACTGCATATATTTAAAAAGATAAATTCCAAGCTCTGACTAAAGAAGTTTTGACAATCTAAGAAAGGTTGAATATCAGTAAGGGCTCAGTGTATTCTTAGGTTCTATTACAGTTATAAGTGCAAATTACTACTTTCTTTAGCAATAAAATTTGGAGATGGAGCTTATTAGAAATATGTGCTCTTGTCCCTGTAACTATTCAGTTACGTAAACTCTAATATTCATCTGCTAGCCAAGAAGAGATAACTATACTAGAGTTGTATCGATTTTCCACCAACATGATTGAAAATATAATTATGCTGTAGTTGTCCCTCCTTGTATGAAAGGTGAGGTTAATTATGAGGATATCGGAGCTGGGAATATGACAATGACTAGAAAGCATTAACATCCATCATTCACTATGTAACAGTCTTTGCAAGCACAAAAGTTAGCAATTAAATGATAACTAACCCATTTTACTTAATTTTCTCTTCCTGTCTTCTGGCCATCTTCACCTATTATTTTCACTGTGCAACAAGTAATGACAATTCAACACTGAAGCCTTGACTATATTTATATTCTTTGCAGTGGCTTCGAAGTTCCTCTTTTCCTTCATTGATCCCAAACACAAGAAATACTTTGTACCTAACTTCTCCCTCTCTAATAGGAAATCTCAATTTTTTTTCAAAATTCAACTTTATTCTTATCTTTTATGATTGCTGCCAATTCTGTACTTCTCTTAGTTCCCTTAAATAGCGACATAAAAAATTTTGCAATTTTCCCTTGATCATCAAATATAGTTAAAACCCAAATTATTTATTTTAAATACTAGTATAATTTTACTGCTTAGACTAGTAAGCCTGTCAATCAGAGATCATCTGTTCATAGATAATAATTCTTGGATTAAAATAACTTTTTCAGAAAGTAATAGATTTAATATTCTTCTAGAATTTAAATATTTTCTGCTTCCATCAAACAGAAAAATAATATATGCTGTGAAGGTAAAGATAAAATGGAAATTTAAAGAAAATTCACCTCAACCCACAGACACAGATTCTGACTTTTGAATACATAAACCAAGGCAATGCATGCCCTTCAGAAAAAGTCAGACGAGCTTTTCATTCTCCCATCTCTACCTGCAATTTACCATTCTCAAAATTATAACTGTTATTTTAAATAAGCTTTTTACATGATGCATTTGTGCTACTAACAGATGTCTTCAATCACCAGTTTCACAACATTTCTCTGTATTTACATGATATTACGTATATTTAAAACTAAATTTATTAAACGTTCAGTAAATTCACTGGTAAGACTCATTATAGAAAAATTAAAAAAATGTATATGTTTCTTATAATAATTTATGTCATAAGGTCATAAGCTACATGGAATACCAATTGCTTAAAGATGTAAGAAAACACATATCTAAAAGAGTCAACCCAATACAAAATCAACTTTGATGAGACTGAATCAGATAGCAAATACTTTAGAAATTAAAATTTGAAAAATATCTAGTTTTTGTTTTCATTCATGTATCACAGGAACAATGTTTTATAAGTTATATTCAGGTTATGAACTACATTTAAACATTGGTACTTACATTTCATTTTGTAAATATTTGTAATCTCTCAGGTGCTGCTATTATATGATAATTGTGATAAATATACTTGGAGATTTACAGTTCTATGCTATTCTTGTTTTAATATTAAAAAGTATAAAATGTTACCTTACATAGCTGGTAATTAGGAAGTGAATTAGGAACTACTATCTCTGAATATTTTAGGTGATATTAATAGTGACCTAGTTGTGGATATCAAGCAGGAAGTACGCTAGATGACAATAAGTTCTTGCTATTTCCAGAGTACAGACATGTCCAGAGAATGAGTACTACAGTACAGAGAATATATGCTACAGTACAGCCATCCTCTGATATAGGTACAGAAGCCACAAGTATTTGTATTTTCTATACTTTAGAATAATACATAAATATATTTATCATACACGAAGCCCTTCAAAGTTTAAATAGCATTTAAAATTGTAGTGTTACTTCTAAAACTTTTCGTTAAATGATTAAAGTAAAATAATATAAATAAATCAGTTTTGAGAACTTTTTAGGGTTCTGAAAATCTGTAGGTATCATTTAAGATCTAAACCAAAAAGCTTGGTTATGTTATTTAGGAAAATTTCAAGACTTTAAATAAAGCTTATTCATTTTTGTTATATATACAAAGCTAAAATGTGTGCATTGTAATACTCCATAGAACTACTAGATTCCTCAGACTGTAGAATAGCTTTCATAATTTTGTTTTCCATCATAATTTTTTGCTTAAGATCTTATTTAATTCAGCTGTCACCCACTTTTCAGATTATGGGTTTATATTCCAAAATGCATTCCATGAACTCAAAAACTATCACATAAAATGAATTAACAAATTTAGGGAAGGGCATCTCTAATATGCTGACTTCTATGATGAAAACTGTCATTCCTAAAATAACAATTTTCAGGCATAGTGACTATTTCCTAATGGAAGAGAAAAGAGTTTGCAACAATATTTACCTCTCCAGGGCAAACAAGTCAAAAGTAAGAAATCAACACTCATATATTGGAAACTTTGCAAATACCTCTGGCTTGTGATACCTTTCTAGTTACTTTGGCACTATGCTTACAAACAGATATTTTGCCCATTTCCTTCTAATCCCTTCACCTTGTCCATTGATTATTGTCCAGATTAAAACTTCCTGTAATCAAATGGCATTATAAACTTAGATTGCCTTTAATATTATAACATGTAAATCTTAAGGCATTAAAATACCATGAAGAAAAGTTTATGAATTCACTATTCTTACTATATTTCCTAAAAATTATTTAAAACTTGATAAAAAGTCAATATCATTAAAATTAACTGATGCCTATGACTATTTAAATGTAAATATTTGAGAAATCTAACATCATCCTGTGTATCCAAATTTCATGTTTAATTCATCTCAATTATTTATTTATGTTAGATATATGGTTCTATATTTCAATAAAAATTTAGTATGTTTCATTATATGAGATAAAGTGTATAGTATATAGCATTTATATTAACAGCTGTTTGATTTTTTTTAAATCATATTTGAGTCTTTAATACAGTTCTCTCCTATATGTTAAACTGTGTGTATGAATGATGGAAAACAGAAGTTTTAAAATTTTTTATCTGGTCTAATTCAAATCATTAGCTAATTTGTTACACATATGTACCATTATTTGCTAGTGGTTAATCCAGCATAAATCATATGTAGTAGAAGGAAACTGGGATGAAGACATGGAGGTACAGTACTATTGTCCTAGAGTCCAAGCTGGTTTACACTACCTCAGAACCTTCAACGCATTTAGAGTACCCAAAGGGTAGGAGATGAGGGAGGTACAGAGATGAGATGAGCCTGTTAGAGACAGACACAAGACAGAGCAAAATGAAGAAATATAGAGATGAATGACAAAGTTACATACATGTGCAACAATACATTTATTTATGGAAATAGAAAACATGAAGAAAGAGAGATAAATATTTAGAAAATTATGATTAGGTGAGCTATATTTCAAAAACAGAAAGAGTATGCATGCAATTAAAATTGTTGAAAACTGGTATGTCTGAAAATAATTAGTTTCAAATAATAAATTAAAGCTTTAAATATGTTATCTTAGAAATATATTTGCTCATAAAATGTAGAACCAATTTTCCATAGCCTTTAAACAGACACATCACTTGTGTCAATAATTACCATAATTTAATTTTCTTTCAACATTTTTCATTTACATTTTCCATATATGGGAATCTCTTAATCTCTCCAGTAATATTAAGACATAATATTCTAGCTTTCTCCTTCAGTGTAGATCATTATGAAGGATAAATATTACATGCCATCTTATTTATGATAACACAATATTTTTAAAAGAATGAATTTCTAAACACATAAAGACATCATGCATCTGGAAATATAAAGTACAGCATTATAACAATAAAAGTGATTTTACGGTAGTAAAACAAGTTTAAAACCACAAAGAAATATCAACAATACATATGTGTTTCTGTTTTAAAGGTTCAATCCACCTGGGTCAAAATACTCAATACATATCTACATGTTCTCCACTTTGAACAGTGAATTAGAGGAAATTAACAGAAGCCACGTAACCCTTTCAGAGTCTACATAAAAGCTGCACCTGGAAAGTATTCTAACTAGGAGCAGGGAAAGGTGTGGAAGCAAAAGAAGAGACAGAAATCAATAGGAATGTATCGGGGGAATGAAGATATCCTATACTCTGGAAACCATGAGGCCCAAGAATTATCAGAAACATGTAATTAGGAAATTAACATAATTTATAATAGAATTGCAATGTAAGTGAATACATGACCTAAATAATAAATATAAGCATTAATTTGTTTTTTGACTTACTGACCATCCAACACAAGTCACATTTGTGTTTGGAAAAATATTTCTAGTTTCAAGAAATAACTTGAATAGTATTGATAGTTCTCATTTCAGTACATTTTTACAGGGTTCTAATGTCAAAGTAGATACTATTTTCTATTATTTTTGCCATTGTTTTGCCAAATGTAACTGTCACTTTTTATTGAAACATCAGAATCAGTCATTTTAATTCTCACAGTTTTGATGCTTAATGAAAAGTGAAAGTTAAACACAGCATGTTGGCATTTAAAATGCATGGTGAATCCATAGCATCTTGCATCTTAACCCTGAGGAGAATGTGCAGTATACCAAAAATATTTACACATATATGTACCATATATATACATATGTATACATATATACATATATATATGTATATATATATATATATATATATATATATATATATTTAAAGTAGGTATATGTATTTGTAGGTGAAATTGATGTAGATGTATTTGTAGGTGAAATTGACAACTTATCATAAATTACTAAGAAAAAATTACAAACAAAGCATGCATTGGGGAAGAGAAGAGAAAGACAATAACCTATTTTGTTGTCGTAATATGTGAAATATGAAAGACCTACATTTGAAATGAAGTGTCGGATGTTTAACCCTTGAAAAAACAAGCAAGTTAGCATACCCACAGAGCAATTCAATCAAGGAAACAGAACCCTATTCTAATTGTTTTTAGACTTCTTTAGGTAAACAGCACTTGATTTTTTTTAGAGCATTTAAAAAATTTGACCCTAAATCAGAAAGACATTTAACAAGGATAGAGAGCTTACTTCTATATCTTTCTTCTTTTAATGAAAGTATGTTCTATTGTCAAGTATTTTAGAAAATCTTCTATTAATTTTAATTTTGTCCTCTTAAAAGAAGAAAAATCAATCTTTATGAGTAAAATATTTTGCAGAAGAGTTTTTTAAGTAAGAGAAATACTACATTTACTCTTTTGCATGTCAAAACTCCATTGAATCTCTTTTTACTATCACACCATAAAAATTAAGTCCCTAATCCATGTTTTGAAACAGAATGTCAATTCTATATTTATGCTTATGCATTCCAGTTTCTTTGTTTATCTAAAGTTTGTCAGTTTATAAGGGTCATAAGTAGATGGAGAACCTTAGTAGCAAAGGTCTTTCGCACATTCTTTCACTTGTGGGTAGGAAACTTATTTCTAAATTGGTGAAGTCTACACATATTTTCAGATTTCTCAGCACACATAATTATGTAAAGTGTGTGAGGAAGCAAAACAGAGTCATGAGGAGGTGTTAGAAGCCCAGGCTTAGAAACCACTGCTGACAGAATGCTGCACAACAATACTTAATTGGATATATGAATCTTATTATAAGTGCTTCCAAGTTTCTATTACCCTAACACACAACCTGGAAAGATTTGTATGTGTTCATATAAAGGTTGACTGTACAGATGGCAACAGAGTTACTCAGATCCTCATTTTTAGAAAAACTAAGCCATTTCACAAATGAAACAAAAGTAGTTTCTGTAAACCTTGTATTTACATGTATCTACATGTATCGACACATAGACTTGTGATTCACAGCTGTAATTCTGTCCTTTCTCTTTAAATTAACAAGGGTTAAAACACCAACAGTAATATAGGTCTGTATATGGCAATAACTGGTCAGTTAAGTAAATCTCACACCTTCTTTTCATTCCCCTAAAGTGTAATGAAAATTTCAAATATAACTATTATCCTCAGTAAAACTGAAGTGAAAATCATAGAAATTGCAGCTTGTAAAATCATTACCTGTTTAAATAAACACATTTTTGTCTATATGATATTATCTGATCTCCAATAAAATGAATGAAATGAAGACAGAGTTTGTTTGTTCAAAAGGTCCCCAAGTTCTATGAACATTAAAACATGGTATAATTTAATAAGGGTTTTAGAATCTAGTAACTCAAATCTCTTGTCAAAATTATTAAGATTGCTTATCAAAATTATTAACATTGGCTAACCAAATAAGTACTAGAACTGTAAAAGCAACAATAACTTCAGCAACATAGTTTCCCCCTTCTCTTCTTCATACTCCTCCTCTGGGAAGCTGCCAGAATTTACAGCCTGTCTGCCCAGGGGTTTTTCTCTTAAACTCTAATAAAACTGTCCTCGAGCTTCCTTAAAAAAAAGCACTACATTTATATATCAGATTATAAAATCTTCAATTTCACATTAATATGTATTATATGTTTTAAATTAAATTATAATTTAGAATATGAATTAATTTAAATATAGTATTTGTCTCAATGTGAGTTCTACATCCTCAAAATAGTCAGTAGAATCTTCTAATATAAGTTGATATATGTCATAGCATGCTTGTAACACTTCTAATGAATTCTACATATACATAATATATATGCTTCTATGTAATATCGATGCTTTATATTCAGTCAAGGACAGCTTCTATATCTCATTTCTGTCTTTAATTTATTAGAAATTAAAAAAATTCAATACCTTTGTTGGCTTTATAGTGTGTAATAAGTAAAAGATAATATATTCTTATAAAGATATGGCTCAGTATAGAAACATGAAGCAACAACAGACAAAAATAGAGAACACCAAATAGCAATAGAGTAGTGACCAGAGTAAAAAAATTCCTTCCAGCTTAAGAAAATGGAGGACTCTATATACATGCATTTTCAATGAAATAGACACTTCTCTCATAGCACCTAAATCTGAAATAAATACTTTAAAATAAACTATTCAATTAGAAATATATAATTCATTATTATTTAATGTTGTCTTGAGACTTAATGTACTTAATGACCTCAACATACTCTGAAACAAAACTGACCCTTCACTGAACTATTTGTTTTATTTGTGTACATTTCATTCAGTAGTATGAAAACTCCTGTATAATACAAAGTCTCATGAAAACTTATCTTCATATATTTGTAAAGTATTTCTGAAACGTTTGAAAATGGAAAACAATCATACAAATATTCTGTGCTGTCAATCCATGTGCTAGAGTCAATTTGCCTAAGTCAGTTTTTCTAATAAGTAATTTGAAAATATTTTCATTTTTATTTGATTTTTAAATCAGTATCTCATGTGCTAGGTTGATCATGAACATTCTATGTACTTGAGGCTGACCCTGAACTTCAGATTCTCTACTCTCTACCTAAATTCTGGGATAGGTATGTACCACAACGTCCAGTTTACTCAGTGCTGCAGATAAAACTTGGAGTACTGGGAACACATGGCAAGCATGGTACTGACTGAGCTACATCCCAGTCATTAATTTTTGTCTTTTAGAACTGAAGTGCATTTACAGCTGACAGAAGAATAACAAATCCATAGGATCTTCCTGGTACCTTCATTTTTCCTTTTTCAAATTATGATAAGAAGTTAAGCAATTTATTAATGTAAATGATGATGAATTCAAGAAGAAAACAAAAATATAGGGTCACTAGAAAATAATAGTGCTCAAGCATGATGTCATGTGAAGATGGTGAGGAGGCTCCTTGTACATTAAGATGCTGCAGTGAAAACGGAAACACGCTCAAGAGCAGAGAATAGGCTTCAGTTAGGTGCAGCCACATAAGCCACTGCAGGATCTTTTTATTAGCAGTAATGAAATCTGTTGACTATGGCCCAGATGGGAAAAGCTTCTTTTTCTACAAAAAGTAAATAGTGATCATTACTGTTTCAATTAAACGGCCACTACAATGCACACCACTGCATTGCTCTTCTCAGCTATGAGAAGAAGCTCAGATTTTGGTCACGATGCCAGATGCATTCCATTTACATCTGCTGTTTAAATCTGTAAGTTGGCATTAGATATGGTTTAATTTACTCATTCAGGAGCCTTTTAGAAAAACGTTCTTTGTTACAATGTCCAAATTTTGATGGTGAAAATGAGAACAATATATAGTACACACACAAAAACCAATTCTACTAAAATTATGAATTTCAATAAAATGTTTTCAAATAAAAGGCGTTAAGTATTTGGAAACAATTTACTACTTCATGGTCCCATAGAAGATACAAAAGAGCACTTACCATTTTTATCCATGGAATTTGGTTCTGATTGTTTCTTGCCAATATCAGCAAAAGATCGGACAATAGGAATCCTATTGGTGAGTTTTTTCTGGTTCTGGTGATGATGCTGTTTCATCAGTGCTTCGTGGACTCTGTGGCGTACGTCTTCATTCAGTTGACCTGAGCTGACTTGCTGGTCAAGGACCATATCTGAACAAAGGAAGAAGATAAGGAACACAGCTTTTCTGTTTAAAATGGACACCTTGAATATTGTTCAAACTAAAATAGGAAGGAATTCCTTTGATATTTCAATGTGTTATGTTTTGAATAAAAGTCTATCTTTTATAGGATTGCTACATGTGAATTTTCATTATAAATCACTCATTTTAAAAAATACTTATTATTTTTTCAAATATACTAAGTTGTACTAAAGAAAGTTATTTTATACATTATTCATACTGATGGGTAGGAATATTATGAGGGTAATCTCAAACTAATAGATATGTCTCTGTCTCTCTCAAACACACACACACACACACACACACACACACACACACACACACACACACACACGTAGAGTATAGGTCTCCTTTTGACATTTATGAAGACTCCAATACACTCAAAGTTTATAGCAGTATGAATGGTAGTTTCAAAGTTGGGTTTATCACTTTTAATAACAGAAAAATGCGAATCACACTAACTAAACTGAGTCCCTCTTTGCAACCCAGGCTTGCTTCAGACTTATACTCCATATTTCTCAGCCACCTAAGAACTCATATTCCAGATGTGCAGTAGCCACACACCTGGATTTACACATATTTTAATTGTTTCTTTTCTATGGCTTTCTAGAAGAGAATAACTTTCTTGATTCCTGTAAGTGATGGTAGGAACCACAGGAGGGCTCTCCAGCATCTAGTCCAGGGTTTAGAGTGAAAAGACTCTTGTTTGTTACAAAATCTTCTTTTTATCCAGTGGCACCCTTAGAACATGTTAGGTAACACAGAACTGTAACTGTAAAACATAGACATTCAGAAGATGGAACTGAGTACACTGATACTTTCTATGCATTGTATCAAGAATGCCAATAAAATAAAGAGCTTTTTTATGGGCATTTGAAGTTCCTTAGTAACATAATATCACCTCACTGAACCTCAGTGTAACTAGTCTGCTTTCAGAAAATCAAATGTTAACTCTAACTGCTTTTGGGAAGTACAGCTTATGTAAAGCAAATGCCAACAAACTCTGTCCTGCTGCCATATTTAGTACATTGCAGGCTTTAATATTAGCAAACTTTTCCCTGATAAAACTGGGATTTCTTTTTGAGCAAAATCAAAATGGACTTGGAACAAACTCTAGTTGTGTGACCTCGCAAAGCTGAAAAAGCACAATATTATTACTTGAAAGGCAGGCGTAACAATATATGTATCATGTATTACACCAAGGAAAATAATATAATGCCCTTCAAGAACTGATTAGCAAATTGAGGACAATCAATAAGAAGATGATTTTCTTTGCATTTTCTATTAATCTTGGTATAGGTCTCTGAAATTTGTGAAAACTTCAATACACGCATAGTTTATAACAGTATCAACTAGATATAAAAAGTACAAAGCTGGTTAAACTGATTCACATGATTAGCTTGCAGAAGAGGAAAATCAAAATGAGCCTGGCTTTAGCTCCATTTCTTTGTGAGATGATAAACTTGGCAGATTTCATGGCAGGCAAGGGTGACCGAGGCAAAGGAACAAACATGCCATGCAGACAGAGCTTAGTGAGAAGTTCTATTAGAAAGGGAAAGAGGGGAAGGAAAGAGAAAAGAGGTAAAGAGATACAGAGACAGAGAGAGGTCAGAGGAGAAGAGGGAGACAGGAAAAGTCCTGTCTGCCCCGGGGCAACAGCAGGAAAAAGAAAGCATAAGTGGGCAGGGTCTTTCTTTTGCACCTGGGCTGACCAGGGTACTGCCTGTGTGCAGTCCTCCAGGTGACAGAGCAGACCAGCACAACACCTGAATCCTTACAATAGGTTTTATTTTTTTTTAATGGGAATAAGGTGGCTGCCAGTAGCAATAAGGAAATATCCTTGTTCATATCCAGTAAGAAACAGATTAGCTTTTGCCACTTTCTTGTATAAAAGGTTCGTTTTCACCTGGCATGGACATCATACATATGACTGACATGAATCAATCACTGTCACTGAAGATGAAATTCATATAGATTTTGTACAGAACAAGAAATGAATTATTTAGCCAAGCTTTTTCTTCCATGAGCCAGACGATAAGCAGTTTCTGTCACAACTACCCAACTCTGCCTTTGCGCTACATTAAAACTTTCTAAAGATTGCGGAAATTTTAGTTTCATACAATTTTTATATTATAAAAGCTTTTTCATTTTTCATTTTCAGCCATGTGAAATGTCCCAAATCACTGATCAAAAGGCCTACAAGACTAGGCAGTGGGCCATATTCAAAGCAAGGAATATAGTTTGCTCTGTCAGTTTCTGTTCACAATGGAAAGAAGTTAGAAATGAATATTTGGGAGCTGGCAATAATGTGTGTGTGTGGAGTATTTGGAAGTCATCCACTGTGATTAAAAGTCCCATTCAAATCTGAAAAGTGCATGGCATTAAAAGATGAAATGTAAATTCGTATTTCGGTTCTTTGGAGATCAGTAATTATAACATCTCCGAATTAAAACAAAATAAAGGAACTAAAGAACTGTCAACATATGACATTACTTTGAAAACTTGCTATGACAGAAAAATGTACATAAAATATGTATTTTATATATAATAGTGGAAGCTACAAAGAAGTTATTTAAACACTAATATAACACAATTTTACAGCCAATCCAGAAATAAGATATTATGACTTCCCTGTCTCGTATGCTAAACAGAACCTACATTGACCATATAAAAACCATACATATCATAAAATTCCATTGAATCACAATCATTTGGGCAATATAAAATCCCCTAATTTCTATCTTTGCAATTACAGAGATATAAGTTTTACTTCAAACAGATACATAGGAAATACATGTCTGTTCATTAGCACACGTACATTACAGACTGCATTACTAAACTGGAAAGGTTAACCTTCTAGCTTCAGAATCAGTCGTGCTGGAGTGAGACGTAAGCACCAAAGGCTTGCATAGGATTCAGTCATCACTTACACTGTTCTCTTAACCACAATAATACTTATCAGCATTAACTTGAAAAGTTAGGAACAGATAATGAACCATATTGGCTTTGGGCCCAGAGTCAGGTCCTCACAACTCAGCAGGCAACGATGCTTAATATAGTGAACTTGGCAACACCCAATGCCAGGATCTTGTTAAGAAAAGAAGCAAGAAGGGAAAAGATAGAGAGAATTACAAAACCTATCAGGAATTGTGCAAAAAGGCTTGAAAACTGAAGAATCATTTTTCATCATAATTAGGCAATTGCTTTAGCATAATCAACTCATAGCGATTACCAAGAAACTTTTATAAATCTCTGTCTTCTTCAAATCTATCATATAAATACTCTGAAAACACATTGCCTTAACTTTCAAAGACAAAGAGGCAGGAGTGGGAAATATGAAGCTGTAAATTCTACTTGGCTGCCAACACTAACAGCATTGTGGATACTAAATAGCATACTTAACTTTCTAGACTGGGGATTGTCAGAATATGAACCTGGTTGTGTGGCTTTGTTTTGTTTTTGACAGGGTCACAGTATATAACCCTGGCTAGCCTGACTTATTATGAAGGTCAGACTGGCCTCACACTCATGAAGTTCTGACTGCCTTTACCTCCCAAGGGCTGGGATTAAAGGTATATGTCATCACACTTGGCATGAACCTGATTTTTAATAATGGATTCCCCTACCAATCTTTAGTTTGTATTCAGTGGAGCAAGATATTAATTTAACCTCCAATGAGAAAGTAACAAAAGCTGTTTTAATGAGTTATGAGTTATGATTGATAATTTGTCATGATACTAACTTTAGCTTGGTTTTAATTTCCTTCTCTCATTGACAGAATCAGGGTAAAGTATTCACACTTCAAAGAGAATATTTCCATTTTTAATCTTTATAATTCTGAGTTTTAAAGAGATTAGCACAGACCATAAATTGTCTACAATGTATATGAATATAAGTAGGAAGCATTTTGACATAATTAATCTCCACATCAGAATAAATCATATCTGGAGATTTTTGGATTTCAAAAGGTTAAGTAATATTTTGAGGGATGAAGTTTGGATTTATTGAGTTCCCTGAAACTCAGGGAAATAGATATGTTTTAAATTAACTTTGTCCAAAAGAAAATCCTACTTTAATTATACCAGAAATTCTTAACAGACCTGCCAGATACAAATGGGATTTTCTGCTGGCAAATCTAACAAAATCTCTTTAAGGAATTATCTGAGTTTGTTAAAAACATATCAAAATCTGATGAAAAAATGAAAACACTCATGTAAAATATTTTACCATTCGAAAACAATATCTAAGTCAGGTTCTCCTATAAAGATGTTTAGAAAGCACTAACTCTACAGACTTCATACATAAAGGAAGTTAGGATCTAGAGTCCTTAAAGAAAAGTAATCTAGCTTTTAGAAAATTTACACTAGCTCTCAATATATGTACCTAGTTTTTTACTTCCTGTGTTTCCTTGTGTGGGGTCTCAATATGCTAATGAAAATAGTAAATATTGAAGTTGGCTGTCTATTTTCTTGTTACAGATAAATCACTACTTATAAGCGAGTTAAGGTTTATATTATATCTAGTTTATTTTATTTTAAATAAAGGGATAAGAGAAAACTGTTGTAATGTCCCTGACACAGACCATGACAACTTATTTTTCACTGGAATTATCAGGACAAGGAATAATAAAAAGCAGCTGAAAGCATCAGAATTAAATAAAGTAACAAAACACTTACTTGCAATTTCTTCTAAAGTATTGGCATGCATGTCCAGCAGCACAGTTCCATTCAGAACACAGCTTCTCAACTCAAACAAGCTGTGCAATGAAAGAGTAGCCACATAGGGCTTGCTCCACCTTTCTCCTCCATCTTCCACATCTTCTTCAAACTTCAACCACCTGTACAAATGCATATTCTTGTGAATATATTAAATACCATAATATAGAAGAATTATCCCTTAACACAAAAGTAAAAGCTATAAAAAGATGATTTTTTGTGGGTTTGGGAAATAAGGAAAAGGTATCCCAGTGTACTGTTACTGTCTCTTTAATTGGATTAAACCAACATTTCAATTAAAATAGATTATTAAAAACAAAAAGAGGTTCAATTTGTATTAATTTATGTAGCTTTGCAGTAATGTTTTTAATGAACATTCACTAGTGTCACTATCATAGGATTAATAAAAAAAGTATTTTCCTTTGTGGAGAAATGTTTGTAGTTGAAAAAGAAAGTGAAAGAGTACTCGATTTTTTCTGTTGGAAGTCTTAAATCTCAGTATTTTAAAAAGATAATTTTCCAATACATTTGTTTGAGGCTTATGCAGTTTGAGACTTATTTTGTGGGGAAATTCTTGTTATATTTGTCTGGAAGAAAGCTCGTTATGGCAATCAGTGGTAGGGCCTGGATATACAAGAATTGAAATTGGACATTATTCCATGGGTATTTATGCCAAGGATGGAACAAAACTTCTGGAGCCAAATGGAAACTACTCTCTTCTAAATGTAAAAGAAATACTTAGCAATATCTAGAAACATCTGTAATCAAGACAAACAGGAAAGATAAAGGAAGTCAATTTTTTATTTTTACTATTCAGGAATCAACTATTCAATGCTTTAGGGACTTGCCTAATCTTAATAGAGGACCTGTTTAATCCACCACTTCTTGATGAATTCTAACCTAAATTGCCTCTCCTCTTCCATTTCCCTCATTCATGCCTCTGGCCTTATCACTTTGGCCATACTTCCTCTTTCCAAGTGAAAACACAAAACATTCTATGTGATATTATATTGCTTTTTATGTAATAAAATGACTCAACTTCAATGGATGAAAACTCCATGTGAGAAATGAGACAGAGAATCAAACGTATTAGCAGATAGGACCCAAAGAGTTTGTTAGAATGTGCACTGTAAAAAGGAGCTTAAAAAAGCCATGAATATGTCCCTAGTAATCAAGGAGCAAAATACTACTCAGGGTGTTGATAGCAAATGACTAGGAAAGAGCTACACCCACCTAGCATTTACACACAGTGGGGAAACCTATGTTTATAAAGAAACCATGAAGGATAAAAACAAAATCAAGTTTTCTACCTAAATCATTGACAACAATCTCTTCAAAGAACATTTTGTCAATATAGTTTCTCTATTTCTTTATTTGTTTGTTTATTCTATGATTCTGTTCTTTGTGTTGCTGCTTATTGTTGCTGGGAGCGAGGCTGTGGGAGTTCTAGCTGGAGAAAGGGTCTGCTATGTAGCCAGGCTAGCCTTCCTTCTTCTGCTTCCCAATTGTTGAAATTACAGGTTTGGACCACCCCCACGGAGCTAAGGAGTCTTGCTATCTGTGTATGTGTATGGATGTGCATGTTGGGGGAGGGGATGCAAGTGCACATGGGTGCATGTGAAGGCCATCGCTAGTGTCACTCCCTAGGAATCATCCACCATATCTTTTATGGTTTTATCCATTCTTTGAGAATTTCATAAAATATATTTTTTATAATTTTTTTACATAAATTAGAAACAATCTTATTATTTCTGGGAAACCAGCATGGAATTGATCCACCCCATGAATGTGGGTGTCAGTGAGGAGACCTCGCAAATCTATGGGGTCTCTTGTAGTAGATCAGTACTTATCACTAGCATAGAAATTGACTTTGGGAGCCCATTCCACATAGAGGGATACTCCCTGAGCCTAGACACACGGGGGAGGGCCTAGGCCCTATCCCAAAGGATATGACAGACTCTGAAGACCCCCCCCATTGAAGACCTCACTCCCCCTGGGTATGAAATGGTATGGATAGGTAGGGTGTTAGTGGGGGGCAGGTGAGGAGGGGAGGGAGAGGGAACTGGGATTGACATGTAAAACATTCTTGTTTCTAATTTAAATAAAAAATGGAGAAAAAATAATTTTCTAAATATATAATGAAAGAAACAATCTTATTTTACATATCAACTCCCCCATTCCCTCTCTCTCCCATCCTCCCCTGTCCCCCTCTGGCTCCCCCATTCCACCCCCCATCTACTTCCCAGGGAGGGTGAGGCCTTCCATGGGGGATCATCAAAGTTTGTCACATCATTTGTGGCAGGGCCTAGGCCCTCCCCTGTGTATCTATGCTGAGAGAGTATCCCTCCATGGGAAATGGGCTCCCAAAGTCTATTTGTGCACTAGGGATGAATACTGGTTCCACTGCCAGAGGCCACATAGACTGCCCAGGCCTCCTAACTGACACCCATGTTCAGGAGGCTTGGTTCAGTCCTATGCTGGTTCCCTAGCTGTCAGACTAGGGTCCGTGAGCTCCCACTTGCTCAGATCAGCTATTTCTGTGGGTTTCCACAGCATGGTCTTGACCCCTTTATTCATCACTCCTCCCTCTCTACAACTGGATTCCAGTTTGGCTGTTTTGATTTTATTTTTTTCTGTTCCCAGAACACCTCCCAGATCCTCCCAACAACTCCCTACACATTGAACTTCATGTTCTTTCTCTCTTTTAAATAAAGATGAAAAACAAAACAACAACATCAAAAAACATGGAGCTTGGTTTTGCTTGGCCAATTACTCTTGAGTATGGGGCCTGCCATGGAATATGGTTGATATACCCAGTGTTAGACCATCAGGGAAAAAAATGCCATTTTCCCTGTCCCAGCAGCTATCACTTTTGAATAACTTCTTGGCTAGTGGTAAGATTTTGTGCCCACTTCTCCTCCTCCTTAATGGGACTTTTGTGTGGCTTGAGATTGTGCAGGTCTCATACATGCTGATACAGTCTGTGAGTTCATATGTGTATCAGTCCTTTTGTGTCTGGAAAATAGTTTCGTTTCCTTGAGGTTGTTCACAACTTCTGGATCTTCCATAGATCTGTCCCTTCTACACAGACCTCTGAGCCTTGATAAGGGTATGATAAAGACATCCCATTTAGGAATGAGAATGCCTTATTTTTGAGGTGTCTTATTAGGATCTAGCCTTCACTGATTATGCTGAGCTGGCTGGCCAGGGAGCCCAAGGGATCCTCCTGTTTCTTTCTCTCCAGAGCTGGAAATCACAGGAACCCACTACATGCTTGGCTTTTTACCTGGGTATTGGGTCTTTATATTGTGTGGCAAGCATTTTACCTACTGAGCTCTATCCCCAGACCCTTTAAGAATTTTTCATTTGATTGATTCCTGAAGTTATCTGCCCCTTACACATCCACAATACTCATACTATTTTGATGATAATTAGTGTTGGCCCTTTTGAGAGAGTGGGACATCAGTACTTGACTCCCTTTTAATTATATGCACCCATGTGACTGTAACTTAGAGTTACAGTCAATGAGCTCAGAGTACAAATTATGTGTGTCATCTCCAAGACAAAATATTTTACTGCCAACATGTGACTCCTTTGATCTTTCTTTTTCCATGATATGGGAACCAATCATGTCCAAGATGGAGGCTATTCTATCAAGCAAAAGTCCTTAACAACAAACATATAAACAGAGCCTACATTGATCCATGATGAACATGTATAATTAGTCAAAAACGAACAATATTAAGCCATTAAGATTGCAGAGTATTTTATAGCATAACTCAGCAGATCCCAACTGATATAAATCATGACCTTAGCTATCTATCCCAGAAAAAAAAAAAAAACCAACAAACGAACCAAATAAACAAACCAGTTAGGATCATTGTTGAGAGTCACCAAAGCTTCTCCTGATGCCCTGATATATATAGAAGGGACACAGCTCCTTCTCTAAAACCAGGAACATGTTAGCAGAGCTAGGAATGATCTGGGGCAAGGGCCTTTGGGGGACTTTGGCTTTAGATCCTTACAACCTACTTTTCAGATCTAAGACTGTGGGCAAGTTCTCCAAAATGCAAACTTTATCTTCTCTATTTCCTATCTCCTTATCTTCTGAGCTTTCTGATCTCTTTCAAGATCCTGTCACTGAAGACTGACCTGCTGATCCAAGTCAGGTGAGAATGAATATGACTTTTATACATTTAATTAATTAGTATTTCTTGCCATATATACATATATATGACACACATAGTACATAATCGGATTTCTGTGTGTATTAAGCTGTGATCACATTGAGTGGTAATGTCACAAAAATTAACATCTTGATGAGTGATTTGAGTCAGACTCTAATAGAGAAAGTCCCTGGGCTCAGATGGCAATAAGAAATCTGACCTTTATTAGCAATATATACACAAACTACAGTGTGAACAAGACAAAGTCTTAAAGTGCTCTGGGCCAATTTCTCATATTCATAAACATTAAACAAATTCAGCACATTAATAAATTGCTGAAAAATCTCCTGGCTAACAATCTCTTAAAATCCAGCTTGTTGTAACTTTGTTTTCCCCAGAGTCTCTGGGCATTTCTTAAAATTATAGAATTCCCCAGCTTCATTTATTTTAGCTATTTTCAGCCTAAAGTTCCTATGTTTCTTCCTGTAACAGAAAAGAAGTAACTAATACGTTTAATTTTCAACCATAGCTGAAAACAATCTTGTCAAGAAAAAGTTCTGCTCTCTTCCTTATTTATATTTATACAGTTTTTCTATATTATCATCTGTGAAAGATTAAAATTGATAATTTTTAGTAAGAAAACAACTTTTATTAAATCTCCAGTCACTTTTCATGCTACTCACAGGTGATGTGGTTTTCAGACAATAGGAGAGAGGATGAAGGGAAGATGAGGCTGGGAGGGGGCAGAGGAAGGAAAGAGATAGAGAAGAGAGAGGAGGAGGAAGAAGAAAACCATGATGACTACAGTATCACATCGGCTGGCACGAATTTCACTGAAGAACCATGTTAGGTTTAAAAGCAATGGATTATGGAAAGCTTTAATAGTGTTTGTGGGAGAACATATTTTTGTTCCATGTAAAATATTCCCATGGTTTCTAGAGATGCAGTTCTTTCTA